GTCCACCCACATTGTATACAGCCGACGCGCTGCGCGAGAAGGCCCTCCAACGGGTTTTCCACGAGCTGGGGTTCCGCGGCCGACCGCAGATCCACAGCACGATCCGCCTGCATCAACCCTCGATCCCCAGTCCCGATGACATGTTCCTGCGGCCCAGCCATTTTCAAGCCGAGGTTGCGCGTCTGCCGCCGCGTCGCTTGCCGCACCTCGAGGTCCAACTGATCCACCACCTTCGCAAAGTATTCCTGTGCATCCTGCTGCTGCCAGCTGCTCATCGACTTCAGTTCTGGCGGCGTCCAGAGTCGCTGTCCGTAGCTTTCCGCACTGTTCAGCCGCTCGATGATCTCCTTGAGGGCATGGTGGGTGGAAAACGAGGACCGCTGGCCCAGTCGCTCGAGGTTCCTGTCGAGAAAGTCCTCCAGCGAGTTGAGGGATGCCAAGCCCTGGATGATGCTGTTCTGATAGCACGAGTTGTCCCAGTTGCCCAGACCGGGTGGAGAGTTGTCCCTGCCGCTCAGGAGCGACGTGCTGAAGCCCGAGAAGGTCGACGCGCGAGGCAGGAGAGCGGAGAGGAATCCATTATCGAGGCCAAGGATCCGTCTCATCGCTTCGCTCTTCGCTTCAAAGCTCATCGACGTTGACGAGGAGGAGTCCAAAGTGTCGGGTCTCGTGGAGTCAAGTGCGGCGACCAGTCGCGACGGGGTCAGGCGGACGACCAAATCCCACGCGAAATGGGTCAGTGAGAAGGGAACGAAGCCAAAGTAGTTGAGGATGAAATATACAGATAGGATAGTCACTAGTACGCCGGCTGTGAAGTTGGAGTGGCCTTGCAAATGCTGGAAAGTGGTATCATAGTTGCTGTAATGCACGCTGCTGAAGGGTCTCTGAGTGGAGAAGTCAATCCCCTCTCTGCGAGCGTTCATGGCTGATGAGAGAAAGTCAAAAGCTGCGGCATGGGGACCGAGCTATAAGCATATCGAAATAAGCAGTAAAGGTAAGTAGAGCCAAGGGTAAAGACAGGTAGGATGATGGTCTGATGCGTGATGCGAAGACAAAAAGGCAGTCAGCCAGTGCGTGCAGAATGGATGGCGGCCGAACAAGCCGCGCCGCGAGGCCGAATGCGCGTTGGGTCACTACCACCACCCGGAAAAGGTTTTATCGATAGGCAAGAAAGGAAAAGAAAGTCTCCGTCCGTCTCCACAACAATTTATTCCCCATCGCTCGGGCTCACTCGGTATTCTCTGCTGTGTGTGCACCATGGCAAAGTCGAGACGTAAGTGTATTACTTGTTGCGCTTTAAGGGCTTTGGAAAAGCTACGGTTCATTTCTAACGTGATCGCATTACTACAGCCCAGTCCAAACATTCCCGTGCTGCCCGCCGGGCAGCTTCTCCCAGTCTCGATCTCGATAAATCGTTGACCACCCTCCCTCGGGCGGAAGAAACCACAGTGCAACGTGAATCCATTCTGGCCGATCGAGCAAATGCTGGCGTCTCGAAGAAGAAGTCCAAGTCGAAGCCTTTGACTAAAGCGCAGCGCGCGAGGCAGCAGAAAGGAATGGAGAAAGCAGAAGCGGTCATGGATCAGCTCGAGAGCAAAGTCAACCGAAGTGTCAACCGCGCTAAAGTTGTCAAAGCTCGTAGGGTATGTGCTCAACATATTGTTCATGGCTCCTTGCGCATTATCTCTGACATGTAATAAATCTAGGGCGAATGGGAGGATCTGAACCGCAAGGCGTCGAAGACCATGTTCCAGACTCTTGCCGATGAGGCCGATGACCTCGACGACGCCATGATGGATGACTCGGCCCCTGCCAAGAAAAGCAAGCCTGCAAAGCAAGCGAGCTTTGCCGTTCAGAACCCGGTCGCCGATCAACATGCCGACAACGATGAGGATGAGGAGATCACTTGAACCAGTTTCGCAGGAGAAAGTTTTGGGGCTGCACCAAATCTTTATTTCCTGGGCCTCAGCTGGTTGATCATCCGGTCGATCTCGGCGGCGGCTGGTCCCGACGCCCGGGTCTGCAGGAGCTCGAGGGCATTCAGATTCTTTGCCCGGAAGGCTTCCTCGCCTGCTTTGGCAATCATCCCACACTTCACCCACATTTCCACTTTTTCGTCTGCGGGCAGGTTGGTGCATTTGGGGACAAATACTGAGGCGAGCTTCGTGTTCCCTGCTCCCAGGATTTCATTGTAAAAAGGCTGTTGTGAGTATTGTGAGTATATGCATGCTTCAAGGGCGCAGGGTCGTGGATTCGTCTTACCTCCCACCCTATGGGGGATTTCTTGATTTTACCGATATCTTCCAGTTCGCCCCAGTCTCGCTTAGCGACTAGAGCTCTCAATCTCAACCACCAGAATGTTTTCTCTGGCATCTTAAATTCACTCTGAAGCTTCTGTGCTCTTTTGCCGTAACCTGATCGGATCAACCTAAATATCGTTTCGTTCAAGCTTAAGCCTAGAAACTCGGTCCTGTCAGCAAGATCCTTGTCCAGCGCTTCCTGCACTTTTAGAAGCTGTGAGGCTTCGGAGAATAGTTTCTGCTGCAGGACCACCGAAGGATCTTTCGAGTCTGACAACAGACGGGTTGCCAGGTGAAGCCTTTCCGACTTCCGCGGCAAGTCCGTCTCTTTCAAAGCCTCCGAAAGAAGTACGTTCGAGCCATCAATCGGGCGGTCATCTTGGTAGAACAGGTCTTTGAGCAACTCTGTGTCCTGTGAGCGGGCATTTGTTTCCACTAGAGCAGACGCCATAGGACGGGTGTTGATTGTTCGAAAAAAGCTCGCCAGGGGAAGTTTTGTCTTGAGATGTAGAAGGACATAGTTCACTAGATCGACGTCTCCACTCTCGATTGCCTTGTCCAGGGCAATCTCATCCTCCTCCATATTCAACAGTAGCGGGACCTGCTTACCGGCCCGCGGTTCGTGGTTCAGTAATTGTGTTGCGAGCTGCACGCGCCCTTCGTCGTAAGCCGTCTGAGCAATCAACTCAAACGATATGCCTGGCTTTCCATCTAACCTCTGGACAATGAGTTTACATACGGCTTCGTCATCTCCCGTGGCGACCTTGACTTTCTGGCTTGCCCAATGAACGTAAATCTTGTCCGCGGCAAGTTCGAGGTATTCGGAAATTCGGATCGCCAGAAGATACTCATGTCTGTTCACTAAACGTTCAATGAGTCGCTCAGGCGTGAGGCGCATGTACTGCTCGTAAGAGATAGGCAATCCGATCTGATAGTCTCTCACTGCTTTCAACACTCGCAGTTTCTCCGTCATTTCCACAAATTCGTCGCTGTTGTATAAGTCAAGCACCGACTTTCCGAAAGAGGCTGCCTTCAATAGACGCTTTTGCCAGTGCGTATCGAATTCCTGGCCCGCCGCTTTGACGCAGGTGTCAACTGCCTCGGGCAGACTCGGGCGAATGCGTTGGATGTTTTCATCGGCTTTTGGAGACTTTTTCTCTAGCAGGTCTACAGAATCCAAGAGCACTGATGCCGGGGAAGTAGAACCAAGCCGGAAGATGGCTTCCGTCACATCTGACCCAGGGTCTCAGTGGCTATCACCCTGAGGGTATGGAAATACATACCGGTAACTTTGTGCAAGAATTCGCAGGTATCGTTGGTGATGAGTCGTACACCATCAAATTCCGGTATAACATGAACTGTCCCATCATAATAATACCTGTACTGATTGGCATCGCCGGAGGAAATACAGAAAAGGGTGACTTATGACGTACCTAGCAGCAACTCCATCCGGTCCGATGAGATGCACCTCGTCCTCCCACGCGATAACAACAGCGTCGTCTCCACACCAATCAACAGATCTGGGTGTCACTCGGGACTCCGGGTCATATTCACTGTACTTGCTTTGGAAGTCGCTACTCACCACCCAGACTTTACCTTCCGCTGTGATAAGTGCGACAAATCGCCCCGTTGGTGAGACGCTCGCATGCTTGAACGGTCCGTTCTGGAGGACTTTGTCTTCCGCCTCTGTGGGGTCGACCAAGTAGACGGTCTTGTCAACAGCCAACAGAACTTCGACTGAGCGGGAGAGCGTGTACGCCGGGGGTATCAAGGACCAGGATGATACCTCTCCTTCTGGACAAGGGGCCAAGAGCCGGGGACGAGGCTCGTCGTAGTTTGACACGGCCACGAGCTGATTGTTCGAAAGCAAAGCCACAAATCCGGAAGTCCAGAAACGGCAACCCCTTACACCGTATTCCTCAGCCCCCTGGACCGAAGTCAGGGTTGAACACAGCTCAGACCATCGACGCTGGGGAGACTCACATTGCCGAGAGAAAAGGAAGTAAAATCGCCATGGAGCCCAAAGTAACGTCGGACAGTACCATCTTCAGTAATGACCAAGAGCTCCTCTCTATCAGACCATCCAAGACCCCGGATCGTGCCAAATTCCCACTGTGGGAAGAATTAGGGAAGTCCAGCCCCTGGTCCAGAGAAGGGAGGGATGCTTACATTCAGACGGTTGATTAGCTTTCCGGAGCACGAATAGATGTCAATACTCGACTTGGTGGTTTGAGCATCACGGAACCGATACGGCTTGCTTTCATCGCGGTGCAGTGCTGTTGAAGGTCAATGAATGTATGATAATTATGGAGTCGTGGTTCACGGCAGCAAGACATGTCCTTACCGATAGCTCCTCCATATGGAGCGCCAGCGATGATGTAGTTCTCCAATTCGATGTCTTCATCGAAGATGGCATCATAGATGGGAACCTTGCGATAGAAACTATCACCCAGTCTCTCCCAATTGGCCAAAGGATTAGATGGTGCCATTGACAGCGTGGTCAAGAGACTGAGGACAGCCCGAGAGAGTGACAACAATGAACAATGCAATGAATGATGTTCAACGTGGGGGTCCTTCCGGGAAAGCAGCCGCAGTCGGGCGGGCAAAGCTGCTAACCCGATTGGGTTATGCAACTAAGTAACCGACAACTGGTCAAGCTGGCTCCATCAACGCATCCCAGGCTGCCTCAGGCTTTGAATACACTTACTTCTCCCTCCCCTAAACCATTAAGATGCTGCAGCCATGATGCCTGCGCATGCGAAGTGCGATGGATCATAACGTGGAGATCCGCAATCTAGCATTGGAGTTATCCGACCTGGAGGTCGCTCTGTTTCTATGTCTTGCAGTCCATGAGCATTGTCGAGTCGAGACGGCCGACACCAATGTCCATGACGTTGCTAAAGAGCTCGCCCTGGTGAATGCCAAACTGCTCTCCATTCTCAGGCCCTTTGACTAATGTGCAAGGCACCAGATCTGCCCCAACACCTTTGGACTGACTCAGGTTATCGTCGACTGTTCCTACGCGACCACGTTTGACACATTCCTCTCAGAAATATCTACACCGCAGAGCGGGAATGGTCGGACAAAACCGTCAAGGTCTCCTGGACAAACGTTCCAGATCCCCAATGTCATCATAGCGAAGAACTTCAACCACGTCGGAGATGAGATCCAGCGCTCAGTGCTCGAGGTCAGCCAGGACCAATTGCTACTTACCACAACTAGTTCTCTATCTAACGTTTAATTCCATTAGCTGATGCGCTCGAAGCGACTGTCCCTGCAGACTGGAATCTGGGAAGCACCAACAGACTTCCTCTTTGTGCCGTTGATAGCGCGCACGGGGGAACGAGACCAACCCTCATTGAATTCTCATTTGGTTTGGCATCCCTACCATCCCGTACCTGTCTCTCTTCACTGCTAGCTAATACGTACCCAGAATGACCACCTCTTCATCTCCCACTACCAGGACCCCGAGGACGGCTACGTCTATCTCGAGGAAGACACCGACTGGCTCTCGGAGGGACAAGTATCTGCATCCTCGGTGATCCGCAAGTCCGAAGCCCAACCGGAAAAAGGTCATCCACACATAGATCGTGAGGTATGCTCATTCCCGCCCCCACCCCACCAGGAATTCAAGTTGACGCGGAAACTCGCAGCTATTGGACAAACTCCAGCGATCCAGCGAAGCTGTCACCGTAGGGGCAGACATCACCCGCTACCAGCAAGACATTGTTGTCTTTCTGCGGCTCAGCCGCGCAGTGGCCGGTGGCATCTCCACGCGTTCGAACCTGCATTTCAAGGCGTTCTCCAGGTTAGTGCTTCTCCCCGTTGCCTGTCACAATAGCACGAGGAAGGATATCCCGGTCTGACTGTCATCTCGGCAGGTTACTTGCCGTCTTGCATGGCCTGGACTTCGTCACCCCCTCGCTTGTAGCGTTAGCGGCGAAAAAGGTCTTCCGTCATCGTATCGTTATGGCCAGGCCCGCGGACGACCGAAGCTTGCAGTATGGGAGTGACCTGGGGGCCGTGGCCAAGGTGCTGGAGTATGCCAACCCTGATACGATTTTGGAAGGTGTACTTACGTTAGAGGCGCCATTGTGATTCTCCTGAGCGGTGTCCTCTCCCTAGGTGTTCGATAAGAGTCATGAATGTCGCTAAGATGTAGAATGAATGGTCTTCTGGTCGATGTAATCTCTATGGCTGTCGCTTATTCCTTGTTCTTCAAACTAGGCTGGACGTTGACTTTGTCTCCGCTTCTGAATTTCATATTCAATATCATATAACATAAATTCATAGATGTACACATATTTTATGTACTGTACGTGGCTTCAAATGGCTTATGTGCGTCATTCGTCGCCAGAACCCAACAGAATCACAAAAAAAGAAACCTTGTACTACCCACAACTTCCAACGAGAGAGAAGTTTCTGCCAGCAAGCCCCCGCTCGATCCTATCCTCCACCCCCCCGGCGATACACCCACCCAAACTCAACCCTCAAGCACATTATAAGTCCGGAGTACTCTAGCCTGCGGCACCAATGACCGCATCTCTCCGTAAGAACATTTCAGGCAGGACAAACCCGGTGATCCCAGCATCGCTGCCAGCCCGGGGGTCAGTTCCGACAACATCGTTCGATCTTTCGACGTCAAGCAAAGCCATGGTCTTGCGCCACTCGTCCAAGACGACGTCGACCTCGGTCTTGGCGTCTCCAACGATGGCGTCCATCTTGATGTCGTTGCGATCATACCCGAACGGATCCTCGAGCTGCGAGCCGATGCCTTCGATGCCGTACAGCGTGAAGATCACCAGGCTGACCATCGGGATGGTCCACCAGCCCATGTCGTCGACCATGCCGAAGGGGAGAACGCAGCCGAACAGGGCGAGGACCTGTTTCTGATGGATTCTGGATGTGCAAGAAGACCATGAATCAGTAGAGGAAGTGAAAACAATAGGTGATCTTGATTGGAGACAAGCGGCATGGAAGTACCATCCGGAAGAGAGTTCTAAGGTAGAACCTACAGGTGTGCAACGGGGATAGGCGTGAGCTTGATCGTCTCCATCCGGCCATAGGCGTCGGTCAGTGTGTTCAGCTGCGCCTGCATCTGACTTGCCCCGGGGGCATGGAACCAGCCGCGCTCGACCCCGCGCTTAATGAACTGATCCACGAAAAAAGTCAGCTGATAGGGGAGCCCCAGCCCTGCGTCCTCATGGCCCTCCAGTCCCGCGGGCAGGAGGCTGGCATAGTCCGGATTGAAATCCGTGACCCCATTCTCCGCGACGTCATTGCCCAAAGCCCAGGCGGCGCCCCACTCGGCGCGGAGATGGTTCTTGACGGCAAACGGGATGGCCATCAGGATGCGGACCGTCCGCTCGATGTCCTGCTTCTCTGCCGTCGTTGGGGCGCCCCGGGGGCTGTACCCATTCGTAATGATGGTCCGCACCAGGTTCCGGACACAGGTGTTGATGGTATTCATGCCATTGCGCCCATCCCAGAATCGGTTGTAGGATGTCTGGTTGCGGAAGACTAACATGAGGCCGACGACAATGGACAGAGATGGGATCTGTCGTTGGTTTTCGTTGGTATCGTAGCGACGATCTGCGGCCCGCTTTGATTGCAGGACACGAACAATGAAAGAGAAGGATGACTCACGATGCTACTCGGAAGGCCGACGGTGTCAAAGACATCCTTGTCTAACCATACCACGAAAGCTGTAAACAAAGCGTGCAGGAAGACTGGCACTAGAATGGCTGCATGGATAGCGCCTTTGATGAACCGGAACACGAGAGGCCATCTGGAATCACGGTCAATATGAGCAAAAGAGGAAGAAAAAGAAGAAGGAGAAGAAGAAGATCGAATACGGGCCTTCTTGGTTTGTGCCTGGTGGACAAAAGGTGGGGATGGGTTCCATGGCGATAATGATGAGCATTGTTGAGAAACATGGTATTCCGACGGCTCAAGGCCGGTGTGGACGGATTGCTGAGACTCAATCGCATATTGCCCCTGCAATATACGAATGCACGGTGATTTACCGAAAGCTCCTTATGCTGTGGCTTTGTTTTCTTGTTTTCTGATGTCAAGGAGGGGAAGAAGAGAATGAACAAAGAGCGGTCTGCAACTAGTAGGGAATTGTTTAGGCTGATCTGGATCTTATCAGATAACAAAACAACAACCCACCGCACATCAACTCCACAGTCTTTCTTCACTACTATCAGTCAACCTCCGCCAAAGTGGGGACAGAATAAAGGCATCAAAGCGTGCAACACTTCTTTATCCCAGGAACTTAGTAGCAATGTGGATTTCGGAATTTATCTCAATCTATGGCCTCTACATGGCAAGATCGGACTGACCGATTGTATCGCCTCGCGTTTCACATGTATATAAATTGACCTCTGCAACCCCTCTCTTGAGGTTTAATCTCACTTCCACAACAGCACTTCGATAGCCGACATTTCTCTGTGGTTACTTTATGGTCACTACCAAGAATTATCAGCTACTACTACTACTACTACTACTACTACTACTACTACTACTACTATCTCTCTATCGTGTTGAAACCTCATCGTTCAAGATGTCCTCCATCTACGGCACTTACAAAGGATGGTATCTCCCGGGATTCGAATCGGACGAGTCACTGGAGCACAAAAAGATCGAGCAGCAGATGGACGAAACGGAGACATCTGCTTCGAACAAAGAAGCCTACGCATTCAAGTACACCGGGCAGAATGTGGACAAAGCGTTCGTTGGGAAGGTGACGCAGCTTCTGGTGGGCAATGGAATCCCCAACTTTCTCTTCGGTGACATGATGTTCCGTTTCTTTGGATGTGAGACTGACGTGCTCAGCATCAATCTCTCGATTCCGGATGAGCTCATGGACGAGGCGGTCCGAGTCTTGCGCCAGGCGGGCTTTTACGACGGTCCCATCGAGCCCTTTGAGGTTGAGGGATCCCACTGTTTCCTAGATTCCCGATCGCACCGATTGCACGCATTCAATCCCAAGATCAAGCGCCTCGAACCTGATGTGCCAACCACCTGGCCTTTGCGGGATGCCTTTCGGTAAATAGCCCCCGGTCTACCGTTCTGTATAATTTGTGGGCAGAGTTCCACTTTTCTTAATTTAATTGATGATCCGAATCTAAAAATATTTGTACCAACTAATCAACAGTTCGTTTGTCTCTTCCATCGATTTGTCGGTCGGATCCTGAATTTCTCGACCGGCCGGCATCGTGCAAGGTGAATGGAGACGACATTCCGAAAATAAATGTGGACATTACTCCGACCCCCCCCTCCTCCCTTGAAAACCCACGACATAACTGACAACACGCCTAACACACCTTGATCAGTTGAAAATCCACCTCCCTCCCCTTCTCATTAACAATCATTTGCGGACTTCGATCAATTCTCAAGCGACCGACGAGGACATCTGATCACGTGTTCGAACTTGCTCTGGGTGGAAAGGCGCCCCACAGCCCACAGCCGGCCCGAGCATTCTCAATCAACGTTCAATATCCACTTCAGCTCTTTTCTGCCCTCGGGGCCTCTCCAGCTCAGAAGCTCTTGAAGCTTACCGATACAGGAGAATAGAGACCGTTTGTGGTAGGTCATCCATCGAAGTCGATCTGCGTCACGTACCCGCACACCCCGCTGCGTATTTCTGTGATGGGATGCGAGAAGAGCCTCGACCTCCTTCGCGATCGTGCGACTATTTTCCCCCGGGAGCAAACACCCCTTCGTACACCGGGCGACCATGATCGTCAGGGATGTTTCTGCAGATGCATATGGAACCATGTCCACATCGAGAATATCGTATAGGTGGCGCATTTCTCCGATTATTTGTCTTACTAGCGGCGCGTGGAGGTAGAGTAGTTCGTCTGCGATTGTGGACGAGGCGTTTTGAGAAAATGGAATTTGATCCGTGTATCTTGGCATCTCAACTGGCCGTTTTTGATATGGAACTCGGTGGGCCGTGACTGGACCAACAGCCTCTTGAACCTCCAGTCCACGTTTCCAAGATCGTGGTTGCCATCATTCTCCCGTTGCTCGAATAGGATTTCCACTGCGTACCGCTGGGGAAGCTGTCAGTAACGGGCGGCCGCGAATAAGTGGCAGCTGCAATGGGATTCAAGTTTTCGAGCTCCCTAGAATTGGTAGATCCCGGTCTAAACTGGTCGGAGTATACCCTTCGCCATCGTGTTCCGGATATCCTAGGGAGCCGTGTCACACTTGAAGACGCATGTCTCTATTCAGTCGTGCTGGTGGCTAGGAGCGAGCTCGAGATGAGCGTTGAACAAGATCTCACTGGGTTCAAAGTAATTTGCCTGATTGATGTTCAATGTTCAGGCCTTTGGCGTTGGATGTTTCATGTGTTGTCTTGTGATACATACTTCAAAAAGCGTTTGTCCAGGCATCCCAAGATGCGGTGGGTGGACTTTGGGGAACACTTCTGGTTGAACATGCGAAAACACAAAGAAGAAGAGACGAAAGAGAAAGGCGAGGGAAAAGAACCAAGGAACAATCGAAGAGAGTCTGTGGGGCATTTACATGACGAGCCCTGGTGCCTTGAATCCATCTCTGCAGCTCTGGCCTAGGCAATCTGCCGTTAAATGCCTGCTGTGAACATCTTTGTTGGCGGAATTGGATCTGTCCTTCTTGGGGATCTGCATGGAGGATGTTGTGTGTCGAGATTGAACATGTGTGACTACAACCAGCAGTAGAAGTCGAATGAATAGTGTCCTCTCAACCAGGACAATGAAGCTTCTGATTGCGCTTCCTGCCAGAAGTCCCAGTTGAGGTAATCGGTGAAAGTGAGAAGTAACACATGGTTCAATCAATTGCCGTCCAGTCCGCCTTTGGACCACCATAATGAGATCTCGTCACTTTCCTGAGTGGTTTGATGATCTTGCATCATGCTGCCAACGAGGGAAACTGGCTGTCGTTGGGTCAGGGCAATCAGTGATGTAAGCAGGCAAGGTGATGACTATGGGATGCCTGTAGGAGATGAATTCATGATCGACAAGTGTATTGTACATACTCGTTATGTAGTCAAGAGATAACTTATAATTAGAATTGCTTGTGGTTTGATGAAGATCTTCAGGATGACCTATGGTTCCGTGGTGAAGGCTCGGAGAGTGGCCGTTGAGGGAGGGTCGGACGGACTGGGAATGACTAAGTCTTCCTCTAGGCTGGATGGAGCTGAGCCAGAGACGCCTTGCCTGATTTAGATTTCCAGATGAAGCTTGTACGGATCGGGAAAGGGGCAATGGAGCGGCTTCCCGCAGCACCAGCCAATCAGTGTGTGCCCCCCGCAAATGCCAGACCTCTCACACCAATCACCAGACTCAATAATTACGCCGCCGACATCAAGGGCCGGCTGGGCTGAAGTCATGATCGGCAATGCGCAACCGGCTTTTCGATGGCCAGCCCAGCCTTACTACTAGTACTAGTACTAGTTATACTCATACTACGTAGTGAGAATTGACCTTTTGGTCCCTTACTATGCTAAGCTGCCAGGTGCTGTCTCCTACGCACCCTACCTACTCATAGTTTAAGCTGTTCCTGCCCCACACGCAATTGCTCCAGATTCCCAGACGTATGGTGCCCAGACCAGATACTCCATCTTGACTGGACAGACGGATACCCCCTCCCCCCTTTCCCGCGGCGGGTCGAGGCTTGCCTGAAGTGTTGAATTTCGGACGGGATGATAGACATGCAAAACTGCCTGGTGTCGACCAGAACCTGCCGATCTAGGGCTGACCATCGATTAGCACATCACGACGTCATGTCCTCGCCGGCCTCTGGTGAATTCACAAGTCAAACAAACAGTTGTACCAAGGCTCGATTCGTAAAGGTGGTGCGTGGTATTCACCAGCCTAACTTACTAACTACGTAGCCTTACGTCATATGTCCTGTCCACTTCGTTTCTCCCCCCAGGCAACAAGCTATATAATCCTCCCAAATTCAGCTCCAATCCATCTCCAGAACATCTTCGATTAGCTCACTATCACAACAAACACCACAATCAAAGCAACATCCAACAAACACCAACCACATCCCTCTTCATCACTTCTCTACATCTATCAACTGAAATCATCCATCATGTCGAACATCATCCACAAGGTCAAGGACGTGGTCACCGGTCACCACCACGAGAACAAGACCGAGAACACTTCCTCCGACAACCACGGTCCTCACAGCTCCAAGATGGCCAACAAGTTGGACCCTCGCGTCGACAGTGATGCTGGTAAGTACAAAGCAACCCCTTTCGGAGAAAGAGTTCGTGCTAACGTGCCATTCTCAAGACAACCGTGCTCGCCACGAGGCCATGGGCGGTGCCCAGGGCCCTCACGAGTCCAACATGGCCAACAAGGCTGACCCTCGCGTCGACTCTGACCGTGACCACCGCGCTCACCCCACTTCCACTACCACCGGAGCCGGCTACGGTGGCAGCACCACTGCTGGTGGCTACAGCGGCAGCACCAACGCTGGTCCTCACAGCTCCAACATGGCTAACAAGGCCGACCCCCGTGTTGACTCTGACCGCGACAACCGTGCTCGCCACGAAGCCCTCGGCGGAGCTCAGGGCCCTCACTCGTCCAGCATGGCCAACAAGATGGACCCTCGCGTCGACTCGGACCGTGACAACCGTGCTGCTCACCACCACTCCACCACCTCGACCGGCGCTGCCTACGGCGGAGCCCCCACCGGTCCCGGCGCCTACGGGTCTTCCACCGGTGCCGCAGGCTACGGTGCCGGCCCGACCACCACCACCACCACCACCGGCTTCGGCGGCGGCAGCACCAACGCCGGCCCTCACAGCTCCAACATAATGAACAAGGCCGACCCTCGCATCGACTCCGACCTCGACAACCGCGCCCGTCACCAGGGTATGGCCAGCAGCAGCTACAACACTGGAGCCACCGCCGGCCCCCACCGCTCTGACATGGCCAACAAGATGGATCCCCGCGTGGACTCCGACTTGGACAACCGTGGCACCCTTGGTACCCAGCGTGGGTTCTAAGTTGATCCAGCATGAGAGACACTTAGAGAGATGCAAAGACATAAAGAAGAGGAAACGTTGGGGAAAAGTTGAAGAAATCGCTTTATCTCTCGATCCCTTCATTTGTGTTCCCACCTAATGATGCTGTTATGACCCGTTGATATGCCTGCCTACGTGCGCTTGCTTTTGTGACCCCTTGTCGCTCTTGTTTGATACCAAGCAAGTTTAATGATGCCCCCCCTTGTTTCTCTTTCCTTACCATGTACTTTACCAAGATTGATATGCTATCAACTGAATGAAATATCGAAGATAAAAAAAATAAGGTTTTGTTTCGTTCGTATTAGTTTCTTCGACGGAGTTCAAAGCAAGTGGCTCTGAATCATCTCCGAATAAGCCCGAACCCACACCCTCGGTAAACAAGGTAGATATTACTAGGTAGGTACCAGACGCTACGCCCCCTTCCCCCTCCCCGTCCTCTCGCCCATCCCAAATTCCAAGATTCCAGGATACTGGATGTGGTATGTATGCATGACTTCATCCCCCTCAAACCCTAGTCGTATTCAATATGGCATGCACACAGGTTGAAATCAGGTAGGTGGGGTTTAGGATTCACGGAACGACTTATGCTTAACCTTCCCCCCCCCCCCCCCCTCCTACTCGTATTATTCCTTGCTGCGTGACATTGCTCCTGTCGCGAGCAGAGTGGAGTTCACTGATCCTGATCGTGTTGTCTGGATTTGATGCTTCCTTTTTAAATAGTGAAGGGTGGAGGGGGTGGGGTGGAGGGGAACTGAGCGCGGGGATGCACAGACCAAAGGTCACACACACTTATCAATACTCAATGTCTCCCTCCGTAAGCAGGTCCTATAGAATAGACGCCAAGATCGAACCAAGACAGAATGTCAAGTTACACGGGAACTTGGGGAATGAAGTACTGTACTGTGCTGTGCTGTGGATGGCTAGGATTCAGGACTCGGTGGGTGGTGTGGCATTTTGCGGGTAAGACCTGCGGTTCGGTTAGGCCATCAGGCGGCTGGCGGCCTTTGCTTGCATATATCTTTAGATCGGGACTGGGTGGGCCATGGGTAGATGCATCATGCGCGTCAGAGAGATTATCTCGCTCCTCTGCAGACAAACGGGTGAAACTGGTTCTTTGTTGGGGTGAGTGAGACATGTTACGCAGACTTTATGCGGCCTACCAACACACCTTATTTCAACGATGAGTGGAAGATGAATTCAATATGCAGGCGTTTCAACTACCGGACGAGTATGTATGTACACTTTCACCATAAACACCCACACAAATTAGAGGAATTAGAGACAACAAATGATCCGGCTCCGGGTAATCCTTCTGAATGCACGTGGTCTTCGAGACTTGGAGCGAAGCAAGATGGCTCGATCATCGGCCGTTCCAGAGGATACCGTTCTCAAGGTCGGATTGGAAGAGTAAAAGAAAGGGTTGCTTCAGAATGGGTATAAGTCATATCAACGGGGTGGACCGCAATGCTCGATGCTTAGGCTGAAAAGAAGAGAAAAACATGATGGACGATGATGATGAGAACGACGAGGATGACAGTGGCTTGAACGGAAATGCAAACGGAAAATGAAAGAGCGCGACAGTTGCGATAATGGCCGTGATCACAACAAATGCAAATTTCGCTAGAGCAAAGGGTTCGCTCAATGCAGAACAAATCCCCCGAAATGCAGCGTGGTGGAACCTAGGCTAGGGCATTGCAGCCCGGCCGTCGAGGGCCAACGGGCCCGAATCATTTAACGGCGTCAGAGGGTTCTCGTCCGACGACTCAGAGCGCACGGGCGTTTCAGCACGCAATTGAGCCGGGCGAGTTTGAGCGGACGAGGGCGACTGGGTCAACGACTGCCAGCCGGGAACTTCATTGTTGCCATTGGACGGGACAGAATCAGGATTCGATGTAGGCGCCGGCGGCTGGGAGGAATTATCATCCGACGCATCTAAATCTTGAAGCCGCATATTCTCAATATTGGCGGCCAGTCCTGCCTCGAGGGGGAGTCGAGTCTCGGGGTGACGCTCATCACCAGAAGTCCGCGAGGGTTGTGTGATAGCGTTGGGGTCCGGTTGAGGGGTATGTGTCTCCGACCGAGCGGGTTCCAGGGCGTCGGGCTTATCTTCCGCAGAAGCGGATTTCGATTCCTCTTGCTCCTCAAAGTCGTTGGTATCGTCTACCTCCGCACTTAAATCGGTGTAGGCACGGCAGTTGGGGCATTGGAACATGGGATAGTCGGGTGTATGGATCAGGCGACTGACACATTTGTAGTGCCAGACGTGGGCACACGCGGCCATGAAGAGGCACTGGTAAGGGCGCTTCAAACCTTGTTAGCGATGGCAATTCCAGATGAAGACGTTGATAACCTACTAGAACAGATCCCAGGCAGATGGAGCATTCTCGACATCCAGAGTAATCCGCGGTGTCCCCCTTTCCAAGATTCTTGATAAGATTCTCGGTGTTTTTGCTATTTCTCCGTCAGCTTCATTCAGATCACATCGGTCACTCTAAGCATCTTCACATACTTGAATTCATTGGGCTGCTGCTGCCAAGACCGATTGCATTCGATCCGTATGCGGACACAGCGAAAGATCATTTCCTCGCCACCGCGGAAGTCAATCCCTAACTGCACAATATCCCCATCCTTGATGGTATAAAGTCGGGAGGCGATGTTCGGCTGGCTCAGTCGCATGTGGTTGAGAAAGGTGCCTGACGAACTTCCGACATCCTTGACATGCCACTGTCCGTTCAGATACATGAACTCGCAGTGTTTGCGACTCACGACCTTTGACTTGAACCCGACAGGGGCATCGGAAGGCTCTGTGGGGTTGGCCACGGGCGTGCCATCCCGCTCCGAGTATCGCCCAACACGAATAACACAACTATCGGATGGTAATGTGCGAGAGATTGGGATGAAAGGCAATGAAGGGCGGCTGCTGGCGTGCGAGTCTTGGTGGGGAAAGAAACGGATGGTGGCTTTTTGTTTCGGTCGCGGGGACGAAGTACACGGGCTTTCGGACACGACTGGATCGGGACTCTCAAGGGCGCCAGGCTGGATGTTCCCTGCGCTCGACACCTCCCCGTTAGGCCTCGCCTCGACGGCCTGTGATGAACCTCGGGGTCGCGCCATGATTTCCTGTGTCTGGTTCCCAGTGGCAGTGGCCGTCTCGTTGCGAAGAGGGGAGTTGGACGATTCTGTCGGGGATGGCTGGGAGCGCAAGTCAAGTTCGAGGCCACGGTAGCTGGGGGAAAAAACCGAGCTATAGCGGGCGAACGTGGACTGATGTTCACTTTCGGGACATGGGGCCCGGGTGGTTGTCCCCACTGTCGAGGTCAAAGAATCGGGTCCGGTGGAGGCGGCTGAAAACCAAGAAACTCGACTACCGAGAGTATGACGACGCGAAACCCGCTGGCTGTTGGTGGACGAGGAGGAAGAGGAGGCGACACTGGGTTGCTGTTGTTGTTGTTGTGGTTGTTGCGGAGGAAGGGAAGAAAAATGAAGTTGAGTGTAGGCACGCAGTTGACTAAGGCGACGGAGAGGACGTAAACGAGAGTCGGAGGAGGGAAGAGGAGAGGGAGAGGAGGGGAGGAGGTTGGAGGAGGGAGAGGCGGAGGCGGAAACGGAAACAGAAGACATTGGAGGGGGTGGTGGTTTTAGTAATAAAAGGTGGTGGTCACGGATTTCTTGTTGGTCGGGCTGGGCTGCACTGGGTCCGGCGGGAGGACTGACAAGATAGTAATAATCATTCAATCATTTAATCAATCACCAGTCCGAAAGAAGAGAAAAGAGTATGTGTGCGTGTGTGCGTGTGTGTGTATGCAGTATATATATGTTTGTTCCAGAAAACAAAGCACAGTTATCAATGGCAATGAACAAGAGATCCTCCCGATCGATCCCTGGACGATGGATGGAGCGGCCAAAACTGGATCTCGTGCGATCAGCGCGACAGCCCTAAATTGGGATCTTCTGCGCCAGTCAGTGGTTCCGATCGGTTCGGTGAATGAATGCGCTTCTCAAAGATGATATCTATGCTCCAATGCGACACGCGGAAGAGCGCAAGGAAAGGGAGGGGAAGGAGGAGAAAGAGACAGGGAGAGAGAGAAACAGCGCGCGCGCGAGCGAGAGAGAAGGAGAGAAAAGAAAGTCAGGAGAGCGAGAACAGACGAGAAGAACAAGAACACGACCAGAACCGGGCAATAATGAATGATTGATTAAATGATTGAATGAAACTGGAATGCCGGAAAGAGATGGCCACCATGCGAGTCAAATGGTAAGATCGACTGCCAGTGGGGCGAGTGGAATGCAGACTATGGACTATGGGCTAATGTGTACGGGCGCAGAGAGGTGAGAGGTGAGAGGTGAGAGGCAGGGAAAGGAAGACGATGAAGATGAAATAGATTCATCGCACCATTTTGATGAGTTTCAACCCCTCTCTTCATCCCGTCCTAGAAGATCCATGGAACTTAGTACCTACTTCGTACACTGACTGCTCTGGGTTTGCTGTTCTTCACGCACTCCAACCCAGGAACTACTCGCTGCTACTCGAGTGAGTTGACTACTTCTTACCTCACTCCTTAAGTTCAAAGGACCATCCAAAGGACCGTCTGTTCGGAGGATTTCCCCTTGGACGCATTAATGGATACCTTAGTTCCTGCACACCCAGCAAAGATCCACCGATTGAATCCTCAAACATTGCCCAACGGAGTATTTCCATGGGCTCCATATCTTTGGGTGAGAACCACTGAATCCGAAAGAAAGTCTTGGCCTTTACCGCCACAGCTCGCTTCATTCCTACCAGGCACGGATGCGGCAAGCCACGCAGGGAGAAGCTACGAGTTATCAGTGGAGGTGGTGAAGTGATAGACGTCTGATTACAGCAGTGGCCCAGAATCTCAGGCTGGATTAGCTTTGCGGGGGAGGAACTGAGCGCAAGCTACCTGCCTCTGCTTGTTCGCCTCTCGGTCCGGTCACGGGCGCGGCCCTCCATGTGATGCAGCCATCGGCCGGGATCGTCTCACGTGGAAGCGCAGCACACGCCTGTCCATTGGCGATCATCGAGGGTCGCGCGGGGGGTGGACTGGCATCCCTCTGGCTGGTGCTGGGAGACATCCTTAGTGGGGTTGATTACCGTGAAGGGTGGACAGAACATCAACTAGATGGAGACGACAAACCGGGGTGGCTTGGTCGGTTGATCACCTCGACAGCTGCGTCCCGTCTATCTCGTTGAGACCATTTAATAATTCAGACCTTTTTTAGGCATGGGAATAAACAATGCAATGCGAGACATATATGAGAGCGCGCCCCGCTGGTATGAGAGCAAGCGTCTCGGCTGCAACCACCCGAGCAATATATATATGTGATGGTGGGGGCACCAGCTGGGTCATCCACCATCTGTCTGGTGATTGATCATGTTGCAACCCTTCGGGTGAACTCAGGTTGCTGTATAGAACTTCACCGTCTGAACATCGTGCGAAATAGGTTTCACCGCAACTCGGACTAGTCGAGCTGGTCGACCGCGAAGAATGTCAACCCAAGACCAGTGGCGCAATTGGCCCTGGGTACTGGGTAGTAGTGATCATGGAGTGAACCGTTAGCTTCCGAGGTGGAACCGGGGCAAAGCTGTCCCCATGATAACGAGGGAATCGGTGAAGGACGAGGAGGGTGCGATTGGTTCGCTTGAAGGAAGAGGACGTTTTCGCCGCTTATAGAATTGGTAGAGACTTTGACTATCACTTAGTGAACCATAAGAGCCATAATAAGGGTGGTTTTGAATTGAGTTGCGATTCAAAGATCAACCCAGCAAGAAGCGGTGGGAGAAGGAAGGAAGACAGAAAGAAGAGATGACGAGATGACGATGACGGAGAGAGGGAAAGATAAACAATAGTCAGACCCTGCTATAACAGAGTCACAAAGTAGTACGTAATTCGGTCTCCGTAGAAGTTGGGGAACCTGGAACTTGAAATCGTCTGGTCAATTGGATGGACATATTCATGGATAGTGCAGTATCGTTGCAGTTGCAGGTGGTTGTTCCTGAGAAGGAAGCCTTAGAGGTGAGGAATTTAGTTATTTACTGAGTACTGAGTAATATCTGTAGACTGATTGTAAAGATCTCCGACCGGTGGAGCTTTCTCAGACTGGCAGATGATGGAGTGCGCACTGCGTACTCTTGCCTGCTTACTGTAATTGCCTGCTTGCTTTGCTTTGCTTGGCTTCCTACCAAACTCCACTATCGTAATGTAATTAACTACACAGTACTCCGTACCTTAGCTAGTCCACGGTTAATTTACCTACTGCTACAACTGCTGCTGCTGCAGCAGCTCCTCAGTGACTGACTTACCCGCTACTGCGAGCTGCCGTCTCTTTCTCTTCTCCAGTTCTTCTTCTTCCTCCTCCTCCTCTCTTTCCCTTCCCCATTCCCCAAGCTCTCTCTCTCTCTCTCTCCCTCCCCCAACTCCCTTCTCCCCCCTCCCCATTTCTCTTTCTCTTCTCTTTGATCATTGAATCCGATCTTCTCCCCTCACCATCCTCTTGTCCGATCGGGCCACTTTTCCATGTCCGTATAAAAGCGACCGCTGGACTAGTAGGGAACATAGGGACAGGGACAAAGAAACTTGGACACTTCTGCTCTCTCATCAACCTTCCCATCCGCCGCTTTCTCTATCTAAAAGTGGTGCTCACTAACCGAACTTGACCATCCATCCTGCCGCCTCGCAATCTCCCAGCCGCTAGTATCAGCAGAGCCTCCCCCCCCCCCGGCCCCTTCTTTGTTGTTCTATCGCCCATTCGATCTTTCCTCCTTCATCCTATCGATCCCCGATCGTTAATCTCTATTGCGAGCTATTCTTGTCCATACAAGTATACCGCCTTGTTTGTGCTTGATGCAACAAGGAAAGCAACAAGGAGGCAAGAATACCCAGACGAGTGGCTCTCCCTCTGTCTACGATCGTACTTAGGCGTCCTATCGCCATTTGTCGTCCTTGAAGTCATTGCTTGCGGGGCCTCTTCCTGGTCCTGCGGGCTTCTACAACTAAAGACATGAGTGGAATTACGAGCGCTTGTTTGTCCTGCTTATCGACAGTGGACCGTTGGTGCCATATCTCGGCATGCCTCGGTCCGATCGGTGGTCGCTCTAGGGATGGGATTTATGAATCCACTTTGGCAGACAATGAACGCGAAGCAGTCTCTGACTTACTGCAGTTTCTCGATGCGGTAAGCTCCGTCCTCTCTCACGCCGTCAACTTCTCTCTGGGGGATCACTCACACATGTACGGCAGCAACAACGTCAAGAGATCGATTTCTTCAATGGCGAGCCTCTTCGGGCTTTGAGCACTTTGGTGTATTCCGACAATGTAGAACTTCAGCGAAGTGCAAGTTTGACCTTTGCTGAGGTTACAGAGCGAGGTACGTACGAGGCGCATAGAATTGATTACAGCAAGGAGCTGACGGCTGAGTTACCCGATCATAGATGTACGCGAAGTCGATCGGGACACTCTCGAGCCTATCCTTTTCTTACTGCAGAGCTCCGACATCGAAGTGCAACGGGCGGCCAGTGCAGCACTGGGAAACTTGGCTGTGAACGGTAGACCCTTCCCTTCCCTTCCTCAACAATCGCGGTTGCTAATTCGGTCCAGCGGAGAACAAGGTCTCGATCGTCGCGTTGGGAGGTCTGGCTCCTCTAATACGGCAGATGATGTCCCCTAATGTCGAGGTCCAATGTAATGCGGTTGGTTGTATCACGAACCTGGCTACCCATGAGGATAACAAGGCCAAAATCGCCCGCTCCGGCGCATTGGGCCCATTGATCCGGCTGGCGAAATCGAAGGACATGCGAGTACAGCGTAATGCGACTGGCGCGCTGCTGAATATGACACACTCGGGTCAGACACCTCACTACAATAGCGACAGCCTTACCTCGCTAACAGAATGCGCAGATGACAACCGACAACAACTCGTCAACGCAGGCGCCATTCCTGTTCTGGTCCAATTGCTATCCTCCTCCGATGTTGATGTACAATATTACTGCACTACTGCCTTGAGCAATATCGCCGTCGACTCGTCGAACCGCAAGCGACTAGCGCAGACTGAGTCTCGATTAGTCCAGTCGCTTGTGCATCTCATGGATTCCTCGACACCAAAGGTCCAATGCCAAGCTGCTCTGGCATTGCGCAACCTGGCTTCTGATGAAAAATATCAGCTTGAGATTGTGCGCGCGAAGGGACTTTCGCCGCTTTTACGACTCTTGCAGTCCTCTTACCTGCCCCTGATCCTCTCCGCCGTCGCATGCATTCGCAACATCTCCATACACCCCCTCAACGAATCTCCCATCATCGACGCGGGATTTCTCAAACCTCTAGTCGATTTGCTCGGCTCGACCGACAATGAGGAGATACAATGTCATGCCATCTCGACGCTGCGGAATTTGGCGGCAAGCTCTGACCGTAACAAGGAGCTCGTCCTTCAGGCTGGAGCGGTTCAAAAGTGCAAGGACTTGGTTCTGCGTGTACCTCTTAGCGTACAATCTGAGATGACGGCTGCGATCGCTGTGCTGGCCCTCAGCGACGAATTGAAGCCTCATCTTCTGAACCTTGGTGTCTTTGACGTTTTGATCCCTCTCACCGAGTCGGAGAGCATTGAGGTGCAAGGAAACAGTGCCGCAGCCCTGGGCAATCTCTCATCCAAAGGTATGTGAGCCGCTAGTCTACGGGCCTCATAATACGGATTATGTAGACTAACGTGCGATAGTGGGAGATTATTCGATTTTCGTGCGCGACTGGGCGGATCCTAACGGTGGCATTCACGGCTACCTGAGCCGGTTTCTGGCAAGCGGCGACCCGACATTCCAGCACATCGCTATCTGGACTTTGCTACAACTTCTCGAATCTGATGACCAGAGACTGATTGGGTACATTGCCAAATCGGATGATATTGTTCAGATGGTCAAGTCGATCTCTGATAAGAACATCGAATCTGACGAAGAAGATGCAGATGAGGGTGAAGGCGAGGTCATTGCGCTGGCACGGCGATGCCTCGAGTTCCTGGGGAGTGGTCACAAGCAGACCCTTGTAGAAGGCTAATTTAATTTCGTCTTTTCGAGCGCTGACGCCGGTTTTCGAAGCTCACTACTTCTGTCTTCTTTTTTCTACCTGATAATCATTCGATTCTTCCCCGTGTCTTCTGTCTTACCTACTATACCTTGAGTGTCCCTGTTATGTGGATGTTTTGCTACAATGACCTATATCTGTCACAGGTGTTAAGCGAGCATATGATTCGGTGTCACTTATCTATTATTTTATCATGTCAGCGAGCATTAGGTGTGAGTGATGAAACTGATTTGCTTTTGTTGGGAAATGTGACCTGCAGTTGCTCCTGGGTCACATACGAGTCATCTGCGCACATACGAGTCATCTGCGACTAACGCTGTATTTACTATGTACCTAAGAGCAGATCTCGATCGTATCATTTATCCATAGTTGATTTGATTAGCTTTTTATCATTAACGACATTGGAGCGATGATGTCATGTGTAAATGCGAATGCTCGTATCTTCCTGTGTTTGTTCTGTATGTCCATCCATAGCTGAGCGGGGAAAGAGTTTCTCCCGTCCGGAGCTCCGCCAAACTGAAAAAAGTAGTCAAGCTCTGCGGCGGTTCATCATTCCACTCCTGCCGAACAACAGACAGCCTTCCCTTCTACCATTCATTCTTCGGCTGCATCAGTTGCTTCTCGGCCCGAATGGCGAGCACACTACCAACTTTGGCCATTCCAGGTCAGCGCCTGGCCCCTGTGAGCTCTTACGCCGCGGGCCCCGGAACTCATGTGCAGAATGCGAACATCTACGCCTCAATCGCCGGTCCCGTTCTCGTCAGCCCCGCCAGCTCCAAAACCGCCAAGTCCACCCTGAGCGTCTCTCGCAGCCCCCTCCGCAAAGCTGCTCCTGCTGCCTCTCCGTCCGCACCAAAGTCCACCGCTCCCGGCCCCTCCAAACCACGGTACAACACCCTCCCCGCTGTCGACTCGATTGTGCTCGCGCGCGTGACGCGCGTACAGAAGCGACAGGCCACGGTCTCCATCCTCGTCGTGCTCGACGAGTCAGCCAGCAACAATAAGTCGGGGCCGCAGCCCACCACCACGACGACAACCCCCACCGGCGGTTCTTCGGACAACGACAACATCGAAGCGATCCTCTCCTCCGCCGCCAACCCGGAGAACCACAGCAACTCGGATGAGCTGCGGTTCCAGGCTCTCATTCGCAAGGAGGACGTCCGGGCCGTCGAGAAGGACCGCGTGGTCATGGACGAGATGTTCCGCGTGGGCGACATCGTGCGCGGCACTGTGATCTCCTTGGGCGACCAGAGCTTCTATTACCTCACGACGGCGCGCAACGACCTCGGGGTGGTGATGGCTCGCAGCGAGGCGGGCAATATGATGTTCCCTGTTAGTTGGAAGGAGATGCGGGATCCTGTCACGGGAGCTGCGGAGCTGAGGAAGGTTGCGCGGCCTTTTTGAGGCTCCTGCGTGATTGTTTGACGATGATTATGATTATGATAATGATGAAGTCGATGGAGTGGTGGATGGCTGGATGGGGTGGGACTGCGACAAAGGGACGCTCGGCTTGGCTGAGTCTTGAGCTTTCTGGGTGCAGGTGCACCAAGCCCGTCTGTCTGTCCGCATTTCATCTTGTCTTGTCTTGTCTTGCCTTCCGGAATGGTCCCATGAATGATTTCGCCTCAAACCATACCAACTCCTCTTCCCGAGAGGTCGGCTACCGGCTACAGTACAGCGGTTTGCTGGTCTTAGCTGGGAGTGGAAGCTCCTGGAACTTGGGGATGCCTCTTGTTTCGCGTGAGCATGGCTGGGGGCTGGTTGTGGGACTTGGATGGGAAACTTTGTTCGAGAAGGAAGTCTCTAGTCGCAGGCACAATCACTCTATCCCTGCTGGCATGCGGACCCCCGGTGTTCGGACCTGCACAACGTGCTCCAGGCTGCGGTTTGCGCCGTCTCAAGCTTGCTACATAACAATGGTACCGTTGAGACTGGTGTCGCAGGAACTTGGAATGTTGGCACTCTCGAGTGGCGGGTAGGATGGGCAAGAATTCACGCGACTGTACATATGGCAGTGCACCTTGCACCAAGCGACTCCGCTCAGGGCAATTCAAAACATGGTGGAATCGAGGCTTCTTGCATTAGGATTGAATCTAGAATAGAGTATATCTGAATCAACCGAAGTGTTAGCCACTTTTCCTGTTTGCGGAAATAGGTACTATTCGTATATCATTAATTCGATATTCTGATGCTTGGGGATTTGACACTAAAGTTGATGATGGTTTCAGCACACAATTCTGCTTCACTGGATTACTGAGTAGAATAGAACTATGTGCCACTCGAACTTGAGAGATCAAAGCACTGACCGATGACGTGCACATACCATCAATAGCATGCAAGACCTCCTAGGGTAGCGTAGTACTCTCCCATCTTTATATTCCAAGCTTCTGTTGGCATGATTACACCAACCACCGAGCGACCCGATCGTATCATACTATTTGAACAACAACAACAACACAAAGCACCAACCCTTGAAGACGATTTCATTTCTAAAACCTATACACAGCTCCCACCCACGCCCCCAAAAGATCTAAAGATCTACTTCTTCAAAGTCTTCTGCTTCTCGGCATCAATCAACTTTCGGCCCTGCACGACCAAGCCCTTCCGCCGGCGCACGGCATCCATGTACCGCTTAGCGACGTTCTCGCGGTCGGCCAACTCGCCCAGATCCTCGAGCTCCTCCTCGGTGGCGGGCACCCAGAAGGGGTCCTCGTCGAGGGCCTCGTAGCCCGCGAAGATCAGCTGCGGCTGGGCGGCGCCCGACGTGCGCTTGCGGATCTCGTCGGCGAACCCGAACGACTCGGCCACGGGGAGAAGGGCCAGGATCGTGAAGAACGGGGTGCCTTCCTTCATCGTTTCGGAGAGGATGCGGCCCCGGCGGCGGGTGATGACGCCGTAGACGCGGCCTAGGACTTCGGCTATTCCGGGGGGGTTAGCTTTGTGTTTGAGAAATTTTGGGGGTGGGGGTGGGGGTAACACGGTTTTTTTTTGTGAAGGGGAGGGGGGGATAACATACTCGACGCTTGAATCTCACAACTATACATGGCAAGCATGATGCGGGGACTCCAATCTAGGAATCCCTGCGAGATACTCTCGCGGACCAGGCGGATGGCTTCACCCGTCAGCCGGCCTAGATCGAGGTCTTCGCCGTTGGTGGAGGTCGCGGAGAGTTCTTCTAAGAATACGGCGACGCCTTGCATGGGTTCCTGGCAGAGGGGCCCTTGGCCCGTTGCGAGTTGGAAGGCGTACGCGATCTTGTCGTTGAAGTCGCGGACGATCAGGGCCTCGCGGTTGTTGGTGGTGTCTGCGGTGACGGTGGGTTGCTGTTTGGGGTCGTCGAGGAGGCTTTGGGGGGGCTGAATGTTAGTTATGTGTGCTTTATTATGAGGTTTGAGGGGGTGGGGGCTGGTGGAAGAAAAGGGCGCTGCTGGCTGCTGCTGGCTGGACTTACAATTTCTCGCAGGTGTTCACGGTTGTAGCATCCACCAGGATGTTAGGGCCAACTCGTCGGGGCCCAAAGGCCGTGATCCGGTCGACCACGTTCTTCCACAGCTCTTTGTCCTCTTTGACCTCTTCGTCGAAGATCTTGTTGAGCTCGGCGCGGAATTCCTGCAGCGACAGGAGAGTCGCCTCGCGGGCTTCCTCGGTGGTGGCTTCGCTGGCTTCCACGGGCTGGCTGCTCTCCACCGTACCTTCGGTGTCGGTGCCACCGGATTTGTTCTCCGCAGCAGTTCGTTTCTGAGTTTGCAGTCGCTTGATGGTCCCCACGTGCTTGGAAAAGAACTCCGTGACAGCCGATGGCAGGGGCACCACACGCAGTCGCATGGTCAGTTGCTTCGAGGGCGACACGGCCAGGATGCCGCCGCGGCCGAGCTCGGGGTTCTTGGGTGCGGCCATCTCCGGGGCGCTGATGATCGTCTCGCGGTAGGGCACGATGGTCTGACCGGTTTGGATGTCACATTTGGCGAAACGCTCGCGCAGGTCCTTCAAGCAACGTTCTAAGTGCAGTTCACCAGCTGTCAGGATCACATGCTCACCGCTGTCGAGGACCTCGTATTGCGCGCAAGGGTCACTTTGTTCGAGGAGCCGTAGGCCGGTGACCATCTTACTCAAGTCGGCCGGGTTCACAGGCTCCAGGGCAACGCGGACGATGGGAGGAGTGTTCAACGAAACACCCGCCAAGTTGATGCTACCCTCAAGTTGCGAGCAGAGCGTCCCCGTCTTCAAGACGTGGCCAGCAAGACCTCCAATACCAAAAACAACACCCGCAGGCACGGACTGGAGAGGCTCCAAGCTTCGTCCCATTAGCAGGTACAGATCGGTGACTGTAACCTTCTGGGGTTCGGGGCTGGCATGCGGGTTCTCCGGGTTGAACTTGGGAGCGATCACATACACGGAGTCTCCCACGGAGAGCGTACCCGAGTAGAGACGTGCGAACCCAATCAAATGTTCGGGGTCCTCTTTCTCCTCGAGCTCAGCTGGCGCATCGTCAAGATAGGTCCGTTCGAGGGCGGACGTCACGCGAGAGAAATCGTCTTGCTGCTGACCGCCAGCTTCCGCCTGCATTTTGGCGATCTCCTCTCTCTTCTTGCGGGCTATCTCCCGCGCTTCATCCGCGGACATGGTGGTACCAGAGCGCTTCTTGCTCGAGGAGAGCTCACTCCCTGGGATGGCGACCATCTTACTGACGTAGGCCACAACTGGCTCTTTCGGCTCCGTCTTGAAGCTGATCATGGCGTCCTTCACCTTCTGGTCGACGAAGTCTGCTCCCGGGGAGTCTGCAATCAAGGCCGGTAGACGGGTTGCTTGAGCTGCGGGCGGACTGGGAAGGTATTCAATGACAGAGACCAGGACAGCGGTCGAAAGAGGCAGCCACATCGAGAACAAGGTGGTCATGATGTTCTTAGGGTCGCGGGAGCGTAGGATGTAAGGAGGAATGTTGATGTTCAGAGATTTGGTGATCTTTTCCAACAAGGCTGGATCGCTGTTGACGGTCAGTAAACGAACAAGGGACCGTGAACAGGTAACTTCTCTTACCCCCGCCCTGAACCTCCGCCAGTCGTCGCTTCGTATGCTGCCCAGATACTGTCCAGCACAAGCTGAACGAACATCGGCTTGAGAGCGCGGCCCTTCAGGTGCTTCTGCCCAAGGACTCGCTTGGTCTTGGGATCCAGATAATAGTCTCCCCAGAGGACCTTCTCCAGAATCTCACGGTTGATTCCGAGCTTCTTCTCGTAGATCACAGCGAACTGTCGAACTGTAAAGGCCCAGCCATCGACTGCACTGCAGAAGATGACGTTGTTCTTCTCTGGTGCAAAGTACAGATCCTCGTCGTCCTTCTCCTCATACTCAGTCGTTTGCTCGTCGTCGTGATCTTGTTTCTTGTTGAGGCGCTCTTCCATGCGCTCCCGCCACTGCAGGTCCTCTTCCATGCGCTCACCCTGGTAGAAACTTCCGATCACCGCATTGACCTGCTCCAGCAGCTTGCTCATATGCAAGTAGGCCTCGCCAGGGCTCATCTTCAGCTCCGTCACCAGTCGGTCGATCTTGTTGATCACCAGAATGGGCTTCAGTTGCTCCACCCAGGCTTGACGCAGCACGGTGACCGTCTGACTGCAGACGCCCTCGACAGCGTCGACCAGAACAACGGCACCGTCGCATAGGCGCGAGGCAGTCGACACTTCGCTGCTGAAATCGATGTGCCCTGGAGAATCGATCAGGTTGATCAGATACTCCTTGGGCTCGGGGGCGGCGTCGGGCGCGGGACGGCGCATCATGGAGAAGAACAGAGAGATGGCCGACGACTCCATGGTGATACCCCGGAGCTGCTCATCTGGACGGGAGTCCAGGTAGCGGATCTTGCCCGCCAGCTTGGGAGAGATAATACCATTGGTGGCAATCAGACTATCCGTCAAGGATGTTTTACCATGATCCTGTATGATATCAACTTGTAAGTCTCGAGGTCCCTTGCGGCCACAGGATCAGATTTTTTTTTAAGGCTGCTACCTACAACGTGAGCGAGAATGCAGATCTGAATGTAAACATTAGCGTTGTTCTGGCTGTGTTGCGACAAAGAAACATGAGTGCGCGAGGAAGTCCGACGTCATGTCATGCAAAGTGGGATGGTGGAGGGGTAAATTGAGACTGAACTTACATTCCGGATATCATTGGGCTTCCGTTGTAGACGAACGAGGTCATCTACATTGACAACAGGCATCTTGAAGACGGATTGGTGCTGTCACACAGCTCCCACGGTTTCAAGAGTGAGGTTCGATTGAATGAACGGATGGGTTGGTTTTTTGGTTCCGCCGTTCGCTGCGGAATTCGAGGGGGAAAAATTGTCTCGGGATTTTGGTCCTGCGTCAGGGTCCTGACTCTCTTCTTTCCACCCCGCGAACTGGAGTCAGGTATACTAGAGTAGACTGACAGAAAAGATTGTGCTTGAGATGTCTTAATAGAAGGATGAATAGGGAGTTGGTGGATTCCACGCACTTCCTGATTATTAATTGCTGCGGTTTGACAGTAACTACAATTACGGGACCGCCACTGCACATATCAAATATGCCAGCAAGGTGTCTATTCATACAGCGCAATAGAGCATTTGATCTGAGATCTAGGGTATCATCTGTTGGGCTATGTTCATGAGTCAAAATCTGTCATCATGACTCATCGTCAAACGAAAGCTTGATCTTCTTCTTCTGTTTCGCTTTTCGCACGCCCGACGAGTCTTTCTTTGTGGTGTCTTCACTCTCTGCGGCTGGGGTGTCTTCACCGATAACCTTGGCTTGTTTTCTTTTGCGTGGCCCGCCAATTTCGGCGATGTTCTGCTTGGAGGCCGATGTCTCAGCCCCAGTGTCTGATCTACTACCCTCCCCGGGCTGGCCTGCGGACTTGTTTTCGTCCTTATGATCCTTGTCGGATTGATCATCATCCTCGGAGGGTTTGTCTCCTCGCACAAGAGCTTCATATTCCTCTTTGGAGATGATGTCGTTGCTCTCTTCGTCCACGTAGGTAGGTCCATCGTCGTCGTGTTCCTCACGCGGCTTCCGTGGCCGGGCAACGGGTCTCTCAAGGCGACCCGAATTGTCCCCGTACTGATTTCTAAGTCTCTGTAGAAAAGCTGGCTCCTTGGCCTCTGCGACATGTTACTCAGAGTCCCGGATGCTGCTGGGGTCGAACGTACCGTAGGCGAGGTCTTTTGACTTGAAGGACATGATTGTGACCAGCCAGGAATGCAGTCTGTTAGCTATGCACGAGTGAGTGTAGTGAGTTTATCCATATGTACAGATATGAGGTTTGGAGTTGTTATCGAAGCAGCTCAGGACGCGGCCACAATAGCGCTTCACAGCAAAGGTGTGGGGAACCTCTTAAGTTCTAGTGTCGCGTCCACTGCTGTGACGTAGAAAGCCACGCTGTCACTCCGTAATCTGGTGAAATTTGACTTCAATGCTGTGTGGAATTTTTGTCAAACGAATTGTGATCAAGAGTCAAGGTAGCCAGAAGGCAATACTTTGTTTTCTAAAGCTCCATCGGTCGAAAAGGAGGAGCTCGAATGGTAAGGTTGAACCGCCAAGCAATCGTCAGCGATCAGGCTTGCGGTGCGGCTAATCCAGATCGGGCGAGGTCGAAAAGTCCAAAGGAGCCCGCAAGCTGCACCTTCAACCAACAACCTCCCCATCAATCATCACATTCACATAAACATGCTGTGCGCAAGTGAGTCTATGGATCTTATGCGTCTGTGTAGCTTCGATGCTGACCAAAAATTGCCAATAGTCTCAGGAGAGGCACCACAAGTGCCCGTCGTTTCGCCCAAGAGCGGTACGTTGCACCCTCTCGCGTGCGCATCAATGCGACCTACTCGTATCTGACGTCTCAGCAGGCAGTGTGTTCGAGAAGCGACTCATCGAGGCGTACATTGCGGAGAACGGCAAGGACCCCGTCAATGGGGAGGAGCTTGCCGCAGACGAACTCATCGAAGTCAAGTCCCAGCGCGTTGTCCGGCCTAGACCCCCCACCCTCACCTCGATCCCCTCATTGCTCAGCGTCTTCCAGGAGGAGTGGGATGCCCTGGCTCTTGAGACCTACACGCTACGACAGACTCTGGCACAGACCCGGCAGGAATTGAGCGCGGCGCTCTACCAGCACGATGCCGCCGTTCGGGTGATTGCTCGGTTGACGAAAGAAAGGGACGAAGCCCGCGATGCACTATCTAAGGTTACTGTCAGTGCCAAGGGCGCTGGCGAGGCTATGCAGGTGGATTCGACTGGTCTGCCCGAAGCCGTCCTAGCTCGCGTGGAAAGTACACAGGCTGCGTAAGTCTTCCGTGCCATGACCAACTGGCAGGAGCCCGCTGCTGACTCACTCGCAAACAGGCTCTCCAAGACCCGTCGCAAGCGTCCCATCCCCGAGGGCTGGGCTACGAGTGAAGCGATCTCCGCCTTCAAGCCTACCCAAACCTCCGAGACTCTCCAGCCCGGCGCAAAGACGTTGTCTGTCAACTCGTCCGGTGAATTGGCTATCGTCGGCGGCGCAGACGGTACCGCCAGTGTGTACTCCGTATCCCAGAAACAGGTGGTTCAAGCCCTGCCAGCGAGTGGACCCATCACTAGTGCTGCATGGGCTGGTGAGAAGGCTATCATTGCTTCCTCTACGGGCTCTGTCAAAGTCTTTGAGAATGGAACCGAGATTGCGAACTTCAGCTCTCACGCTGGAGCCGCCACGGCTGTGGCTGTACATGCCACTGGCGACATCGTTGCTTCCGTTGGCGCCGACAAGAGCTACGTGCTGTATGACTTGACGACGAACTCTGTTATCACCCAGATCTTTAGCGATGCTTGTAAGCAGCCCTTTGGAAGTCCCTTACTGGGTGGAATCCGACTAACGCTCGATGTTTGATCTAGCCCTCCTTTCCATTCACTTCCACCCTGATGGCCACCTCCTTGCTGCCGGTGGTCAGGATGGCCAAATCAAGATTTTCGATGTCAAGACCGGTGCTGCCGCCGCGAGCTTCGCCATGCCCGCCCCGGTGAAGGGTCTCTTCTTCTCCGAGAACGGTACTTTCTTGGCTGCCGTGGCTGAGAACTCCACCACTGTGTCCATCTGGGATCTTCGCAACGGTCAGGAGATCAAGGTGATTGAGACAGGCAGCCAGGTTGATTCTATCAACTGGGACTACACCGGACAATTCCTGCTCACGGCCGGACCCAGCGGGTTGACGGTGAACCACTACTCCAAGGCGGCCAAATCGTGGTCGGAGTCCCTGCGGAGCGCCGTACCCGCGGTGGCAGCGGTCTGGGGTTCTGCTGCTCAGAGCATTGTGGCGCTGAACACTGAGGGAGGTGTGACTCAGCTTACCGCACAGTAATTCTGTTTGATACCTGGTGAATTTGGATCCAAAATCAACAATGATTATTCTGTAATTCTAGCTGGCTGTGGTTTCATTTGATCATTTGTGAATGGCGTCTCTGCTTGGACTCTTTCTTTTTTTCGTGTTTTGCTTTTCCATCCCACGAGCCAGACCATGAACCGGATCATTAAATTCCAATGAACCAGAATAAACAGAACAAAATGAGTTTTGGTGGTGCCTGATCACATATAGAAACAAAACCGAGTTGTCACCCAAGTTTGGCCAGTTGTTGTTGGAGCGGGCAAAATCCCGGCTGAGAAAAGGTCATTGGCGCATTGGCAGCGTCACCGGTTACATACAGTCAGTGTACTCCGTAACGTTACTACTGTACATAACTTAACTATCCAACCCTTGATTAATCTGATTAATCACCACCACAGTTCAACCGGAGGAAAAGAAACCCAAGGGAGCCGATATGCCGGGACCCAGCCAAAAGCCGAAAAAACTAAAGGACTACCATTGATATGGACCTCTAACCGCTCTCAGTCCTTCACCTCCACTGCCTACTAAGCAACCATTAACTATGGCCTCCACCGTCTACCGCCGGCAATGAGGCCTAAACTCCGCCTCGGCCTTTCTTTGATAACAACCTCCCACTCTTCTCTCTCCACTTCTCTCTCATCTCTCTCTCCCCCTTTCCTCACTTCCCCTCGCTTGGGGCTTCATCTGCTGTTTCATTTTCACTCGGATGCCCATCATGAGTGACGATTCAGGTGTTCAATTTGTGACTTCTAGGCCAAGGAAGGTTGGTAGTCTCCTTCTCTCCCCGCTAGTCCGCCCATTTTGCCGCATGCCCTCAATCTTTCCCCTCAGGCGGGGTACACCCATCTCGGCCTCGTTGAGTTATCTATAACTTAACTGACCTTTTATGCAGCGACCGCATCATGAAATAGCAAGAGCTACACCCCCACAATTTTCCGGCGGCGAGTCATCATCGTCCAGGACGCTTCCTCCGCCCTCGCCACCACGACGGCGGTATCCCGGAGATGGCTTTGACTTTCGTCGGCCCATCGCATCGGCGACCCCCAACGCAGAAGAAGTCATCGACTTGACCCTGGACTCAGATCCTCCTCAGCCCAACGCAACTCACGATGTTCGGAATAACCACCAAGATCACTCCACACAAATCTCACAATCGAGGGTCCCGGTAGTGGTGGATCTGGAAGAAGAATATGAAGACTTGACGCAAGATGAACCTCCCAGCAGCCCGGAGGTACAGTTTATTGGTGCTACCGCTCGGCCTTCACGACCTCCTCCATCCTCGACGATTCCAGAATGGGCACCACAGTTATTAAGGATCTTCAACATGTCACAGGGCAGGTTCCCCGCACGACATCGAGTCTTGCGGCCACCAGATGTGGACGTATCATATATTGGAGAGCATCCAGCGGGCGCTATTGACCTGACGTTTAATTTCGACATGCGAAGACCTGACGTGAGAAGACCTGAAAGACCCCCGGCGAGCGCCTACAAGCCGCCGAGCCCTCCACCGGATGGATTCACAAGGACTCTTGAAGAGGATGACGTTGTGGTATGCCCTAACTGCGACGGGGAGCTGGGCGTTGGCGATGAGATTAGGCAGCAAACATGGGTAGCAAAGCAATGTGGACATGTACGTACCCTTCCTCGTTCCCTTCGACCATTGCAAGGCCACTACTAACGTGCACAGGTATACTGTGGCCGTTGTGCCCACCACCGCTCCAAGGCCAAATCAAAAAAGTCGTCCTCCACAAAACCATTCTCTGTATGTCAGGTGCCAGACTGTGGCAAACCAGTCAGCTCACACAAAGCCATGCTTCAAATCTATCTCTGACCCATGGTCCATCTTGCTGCATTTTTGAGGATTTGGGAGTCATGAGAACAGGTTTGCATTTGGTTGCATGTTGCTGGCGTTTAACTGCGGGGCTTCTTTCACATTCTCATAACATATGACCACGATGCATCAGGATACCCCATTTTCTTCTCATTTCTAATGTTCATCCCTCCCTTCCGCCTTTTAGTCGAAGGGTTGCACCATGTTTCTTGTCGATATCGGTCTTAAGCATTCTGGTCCGGATACGATATGCATTGGCCTTGCATATACATGTGGATAATGATATTGTTCCAATATACTTAGATGACGCTTTTCCAAGATAGCACATACCCGTAGGAACAATTTCAAAAGCAATTTGTACATATGATACATATCCGGTTGCAAGACAGAACCACGTTGGGGGTTCTCCCGCGGGAGAAGGGAATGCCGAAGCATGAAACAAAGCTAGCCCATAACGAATAAACCAAACAAAAAGAGTTTCCAAATTGTAACACCACTGCAGTAACCAGATACCCAATTCCCACTTACACCGACTTGAGGCCACCGTGGAAAGGGTCCCAGATACCTCTCACGCTCTCGTTAAGACTCGTGATGGGCTTCTTGGTGCGCTTCGTCTTCTCGCCGCTGGCCGCCTTCAGCAGATTCGCCTTGTTGAAGATCTGCTCGGGCTCGAGGTTGCGGACACAGATCGCCTTCTCTCGGCCGTTGATGTAGTGTCCCTTGATGACGGGGTGCTTGTGTGGCCGGGGCGATACTCGGATCTCGATCTGGGGGTTGGCTTTGGCGAAAGAGGGGAGGTGGTGCTTGAGGAAGGAACTGTGTAGAGTTGAGAACCGTCAGTATATGCTTCCAGATTATGCTTCTCAAGCCTCTTCAGACTGGCTACTTGGGGAAGAGACGTACACCATGCCGCGAGAGCTACCAGCCCAGTCGCAGTAGTGGAAGTCCAACTGCTTGCATTGTAGGATAAAGGCTCCGACACCGTTCTAAACAAGCGCGTTAGTCCAATTCTTCAGGATACTTCAGGGATCTAGAGGCAAGAAACAGAACATACTCTGGCGGTCGTCACCGTCCGGATCCCTTGGACAGGCATGGCGCTGTATATTGTCTCTGTTGTCTGGTTTGGCCGGTCGAACGACTTTCCACACTGCAATCTCCAGAACCCGTGACACCCTGGTCGGGGACTTTTCAGCGGCGCGGCGCACCCGAGAATCCCCGCCCATCATTGGCCATGGCGGTAAACTCGGCTACCGCGACTAGGCGGCTCTCGACCGGTGCCAAGACAACTGGAACTCAACCTGGTACTAGCGGGAGCCCGTGGAAAGGACGACAACGACGCGAAACTCGAATCCAACACTCAGTACTTCCCGGAGCTTCGACACTTACCTCATCTCATCTCACCCCCAACCACAGAAGGTCGGGATTCAAAAGAAGAGGGAATACCGATTCGATTTTCCAACACATCAAAAAAATCCTCAGTCATTTGGATGGTCTCCGTCAGATAATAGGCTAGAGAGTTTTCGAGTATTCTCCCGCATCCGAAACCTTTTGTGACCTGACAAGGGCGCAAAATGACGGACAAGCTCCCCCCTCCGCTTCTGGCGCTGTTCCAGCCTCGCCCGCCCCTCCGCTATGTCACGCCCATCAATCGGGCCCCCGAGGACTGCAAGAAGAGTTCCATCGGTGGGATTGCGCAATTCCTGCCCGAGCTGAAGCAGTACGAAGAGGAGGTCCCCTACAATGCCACAGAGAGCTGGATTCAGCGCAAGTTGCGACAGAAGGTGGAGAAGAAGGAAAACATGGAGAAGCAAGTCACAGAAGGGCTCGAAGGATGTATGCATCTCTCTTCTCATTAGTTCCTACCTCTTGATGAGTTGTGAATCGCCGGTTTTGCTGATATCCGTTGGCCGCGCCACAGATGATCCGTCGAATGATCAACAAGCTCGCGGAGACCCGTTCAGGACCCTTTTCGTTGCCAGACTGAGCTACGATGTCAAGGAGTCGGACTTGGAGCGGGAGTTCGGCCGTTTTGGCCCTATTGAGAGAGTATGGTTACCTGCGTCTCCCGAACGCGCGCTTATCGGAGTAGCTAAACTGACCATCATCAGATTCGTATCGTCAAGGACACCGTAACGCCAAAGGGTTCGAAGAAAGCGCACAGAGGATATGCTTTCATCGTGTATGAGCGCGAAAAGGACATGAAAGGTATTGCTACAGATCTAGTCGCCGATTACCCCGGATGACTACTCCTGGTATAACAATCTCCCGTGCTACTTGATTGCTAACCTAGTGTTTTTTTCTTGACGAAATCCAGCGGCCTACAAAGAGACAGATGGCATTCGCATCAAGGATCGCCGGGTTCTGGTAGATGTTGAGCGTGGTCGGACTGTCAAGGGCTGGAAGCCCCGTCGTTTTGGCGGTGGTCTTGGAGGACGAGGTTATACCAAGGCTCTGCCTTCCCGGCCCATTGGACCTGGATCTTTCAACGCTCCTTCAGGCCCCGGTGGCTTTGGCGGTGGTTTCCGCGGTGGCTTTGGCGGTGGCAGAGGCGGCCGGGGAGGCTTCCGTAACGATCGTGGTTTCGGTCCTCGCGGCGGTGTCGGGTACCAAGGAGGCCGCAACGGCTTCGGCGGACAGGCTCCTCCCAACGCTCCCTCGGGTCCCGGAGGTGGACGCAGTGGTGGCTTCGGTGGCCCCGGTGGCCCCGGTGGCCCCGGTGGAGGTGGCAGATTTGGTGGCCGTGAAGACCGGGGAGGCACTGGTAGCAACCGTGAACCCATCAGACCCCGGGACAGCTTCGGTGATCGCGACCGCCGAGACCGAGACCGGGACCGTGAGGGTGGTGATCGCTACAGAGACCGTGATCGGGACAGTCATCGCGGTAGCTACCGCGACCGCGACCGTGACCGTGACCGCGAGCGCGATAGATATGGAAGCCGTGGCGACGATTACGGGCGCAAGAGATACCACGAGGACGACTCGTACGACGACCCCCGCGCCAAGAGAAGGTACTGAACTGCTTTGACGGAGGGCTTCCTCATTTTAGTATCCAATGACCCGTTTGGTGGTGGGTATTCCTGATTGATCTCCTTTCTCGTCCTCCCGCGTCGACAAGGGTAAGGCCAGCCAACACCGCCTCAGATCATAAGAGCCTGGGCATCAATGAGTCAGTCAGACAACCAACTAGGCAGTTCCCTACGAGAGTCGAACGTCGCAACATCTTTCCATAACATTTGTCAAGAGGTATCCACGGCAGCACCAGCAGACGTCTCATTCACATCAAGTCGGTCGATGTCTACTCCCGCATCAGACGCTTCGCAATTTCCTATCAGTGCTCGTCATACTCTGCTCCCTTCTCTTTCTCTCGTGTCTTCATTAACATTCATGTCCTTTGTGCTTTATGTTTGTTTTGGGCTTTACTACGGCCGTTACTCTCTCATTGTGGGGTAAGTATGTACGTTAGATCTTTAACATTCTCTTCAGGCGGAATCGTGGTTGGGTCGGGACTTGGGACGTTCAGGTAAGAAGATCAGGTAGGGTTTTCCATCAGCAATGACCGATACCAGGGATCTTCACACAGGTAAAAATCAAGGTAATGATTCGTTACTCGCGTCAGGGTATGGTGGATAGTAGCAATAGGTTTTCTCGATATAAATGTCCTCGTAGTATTCTTGCGAAAAGATCCTGGGGAGCTCTGATGGGAGGGAGGTCCTAAGGCCTAGACCCTAGGACCAGGCTGGCCGTGATAGTTTACCTCCTCATTTGGCTTAAGTTCGACTCATTGAAATTAAAAGCGCAGTGCAGTGTCTGTTCATGCTCATGCGCTGGCACCAAACCAGCCTTAAACGCTAAGCCGAGGCACTTTATTTCTATTCTTCAGTCTCTATACACGGGCGGGGAGGGGGGTAATTGAAGGAGAATCATAAATAAAAGGGAAATGAAACTTTTCTAGATGAGAAACAAAAACAATGGTGTATATGAAAGAGACCCGCCCCGCAGACCTGTGGAAAAGAGAGAAAAGAAAAACATGATAAAAGATGATAGGTATTCCTGAGTTGGTTCATTTTTTCTTCTTTCTGGTTCGTCAACTACTCCTCCATGCCATCCTCATCCTTCGCCAACAGCTCGACCTCATTCGTACTCCGGGTCCAGTGCGCCTTCAAGGCGACCCGAAACTCGGAGGAGACGACGCCGAACATCTTGAGCAGCGTCGTCTGCCGCGAATCGAGCACCTCGCCGGCCCGGCACACAGGGTACCCCTCCTGGTCGTCGGTCAGCTCCAGCATCACCTTGCCCTTGACGAGGCGGGTGGGCACGCCCAGCTTGCGGAGCTCGGGCTCGATCGTGTGGCTGACGGGCTCGTCCTCGGCGGCGGGGATCTCCCCGGCGCGCGAGTACACCAGCCCGTTGGGGATGGTGAAGGCGCGCGTGCTGACCGTGCCCGCGCGGGCGTAGTCCAGCGGCCGGAAGTTGTCGAAGTAGTCCGTTACCGTGGCCGGGTCGCGCGAGGTGAAGAGCAGGCCGACGGCGCCCGTCAGCGTCGGCGACAGCTTGTGCAGGTTCGGCGCGGCTTCGTTCTCCGGCGTGTGGCCCAGCGCGACCGCCATGACTTTGGTTTTGCCGAAGAAGAGTCTGTTTTTCGAGGTAAAAATGTTGTTAGTTGAGGGAGGGGGGTTTTTGGGGGGGTTATGCAGGTATCGTAACCGGAAATAGGTTTAGGAGTTTTGAGGTACAACTTACCGGCTATCAGCGAATTCCGTACGCACATCCTTCAGGTATGTGTTGCGCATGTTATCAACCCCAAACACAAACAGGTGGTCGTATTTCTCAATGCATTCTCGGATGTTGGCGTATAGGCGTCTGGTTTGTTCCTTGTGCGACTTCTTTGCGGTCTTGGACTCGTGCACGACTCTGGCACGCTTGGAGCGGGGCATTGTGTCGGTGTGGTGTGGAAGGAATTAGATAACTGAAAGATTCGTAATTTTAGACAGCAACCTTCGTGTTTCCCTGGATATGATGCAGAATGGAGGGCAGGGAAAAGCAGAAATTAAATATGAACTCGGGTTCTGGAAGTGAAGTGGATCCTCCCATCTAGTGATTTTTTTCTTGTCTTTTGACTTTTTTGATAACAGCCGGATTATCGTTGATGCGGGGTCTTATCCGCCCCGACTCCCCGCTAGTCCGCTTGGAGAAACGAGCTGATGGGGATCTGGAAGTCTTTCTCCTCGTTCTGTTCGTCATCGTTCGACTTCCTACACTCCACCTCGCCTTTTGCGCTTTGTTTGGAACGAGGCCGTTTGCGAAGACGAATCAGCATGTCGTAGAGTGTATATGTTGAGCGATTGGTTTGCAGACATACGTTCAATCGAATCTCTTTGTCTCTATCCCCGACAATGCTCGACTTCATGGATTACATCCAACTTGCGTTCGCCGAGGCGACCAACTGGAACCGCGACAATTCATATTCGTCGCTGACAGCGACTGCGCAGTGTGTGTCCCACCTTGTAGCCCCCTTTTATTCATCATGCTCATGGTATTCGTCTAGCGCTCCTTGATTTCTCCACGCCGGAGCGTCTCCGCGTCCATCTCTCCTCCCTGTCCACGCCGCACTTCGCGACGAGCTACACCCTCGGCACGGTTGGTCTGATCGATGGCTCGGTATCCTACCTCTTCAGCACCGTACCCCTAAACCACGCCGCCAGCCGCAGCGCCTTGATTCCTCTCCGCAAGCTCTCCCCCGGCTACCGACAAGTGCAAGCCCCCGTCGCCCCAATCGAGAACTTCCGCGTCGACTCCATCCTCGACGACCTCAACCATCTTCCCGGTAGCGACGATAATCCCAGCAGAAACCATGGCCGCTCCCAAAAAGCCACCCTGTTCCACGCCACCCTCCACCTCCCCCCACCGACCACCCTGAACGCCCTCTTCCTCCGCCGCATCTCCCCGACCATGCAGCTCTCCCTGGCCGTCTGCTCCACGCGGGGGCCCCCGTTATCCAAATCCGCCCCGCAGGCCTCCCTCCTCACACAACTCTCTCACAACACCGGCAAATACAGCAACGAGTACCTTTTCAGCACGGACAACGCCCTGTTCGGTTGGCGCGGCCTCTGGAACTTCGGGCCGGATCCCCGCGCCACTCCCACCGCGTCAACACAGCCATTGTCCCTCCTCTCCGCTGGCGCGGAAGCGTACTACTCCCCCGTCTCCTCGTTGATTGGCATGTCCACCGGGTTACGGTTTAGTACCCTCCCCGCTGCAACGGATGTGCCTTCATCCTCCTCCTCATCTTCTTGTTCGTCTACCAGCAGCGCGAGCAACAGCAGCAACAGCAGCAACAGCAACAACCCCATCTCCACCTTCCCCTACACCCTCACTCTGACCCTCACACCACTAACCGGCTCCCTTTCGACGACCTACTCCCTGCGCGCCTCGCCCAACCTGGCCTTCAGCTCGCGCTTCGGCTTCAACGTCTACAGCTGGGAAAGCGAGATGGTCGCCGGCATGGAACTGTGGCGGAAGAGTCGGCGCGCGGCGCCCGCAGATGATCCCGACGATGACGAGCTGGAATGGGCGAGACGGAAGATGCGCGGGGAGAGACACCCCCCTTTACCTTCTTCTCCGGCAGTCCGGAAGACGGATCCCCTGGGACAACTACACCCGGCCAAAAAGACCGCCGGGCAAGAAGAAGCGAATGAATCCGTCCTGAAAATCCGCGTGGATCAGTCGTGGAATGTGCGGTTGCTGTGGGAGGGCCGCGTGAAGGAGCTGTTGGTTAGTGCCGGTGTGGGGTTGGGGCCGAGCTCGTTTGCCTCGTCGCTCTCGTCGCTTTCCTCGTTGAGTGCGGCCGGCGCGCAGAGTTCCGGGGGTGGTAGTGCCGGGGTTGGGAAGTCTTATTGGCATGGGGTTGGGATTTCAGTCTTGTATTCTTCTTGACAGAGTTTTGGCCGGATGAGAGGCTGTACATATACTGTATTATTGGATTTTACGAAGCGTAGCAATTATCTGAAGTTGGTTATTCGAGACTAAAGAAAATATAGATTTTGTGGTATTTGGATGGACAGAGTCCTCATCGGTATATGCACTTTCATATAGTAAAGGCGGAGGGAGGTGGTACTCCGCCTTGCATGGAGGAGATGCTTTTCACATTAGCCCCTACCAGCAGGGCCAGCATGTCGGATTAGGGGGTTGACGTTGCTGGCACTTTGATCGGGTATCATATCACGTTATCAGACGAGAGTCGTAAGTGCTTACAGACGAGCGTTGATAATGTCGACGACTGGTGGCTGTTAGTTTGGAGACCAAGCATCGATTCAAGGGAAGGAAAAACGTACAGGCAGGCTTCAAGCTGGCACCGCCAACGAGGAAACCATCGACATCAGCCTCCTTGGCCAGCTCGCGGCAGTTCTTCTCGCTGACGGAACCACCGTAGATGATTCTGGTGTTCTCGGCAGCGTCGGCGGAGATGGCCTCGGAGAGCCACTTGCGGATGGCAGCGTGGACCTCCTGGGCCTGCTCGGTGGTGGCGACCTTGCCGGTACCAATGGCCCTGTTGGGAGAATGTCAGCATTCTGAAACTCGACTTGTTACACTAAGAGGTCGGCAACGTACCAGACGGGTTCGTAGGCAATGACAACCTTGGACCACTGCTCCTTGGAGAGCTCCTTGGCGACGGCGTTGAGCTGTCTGGTGACAACATCGATGGTCTTGTTGGCCTCACGCTCCTGTAGATCCCCAACATGTCAGCATACGGTTACCACCACCAAGGTCAAGTACTAGGAGCTAAGCTACAAAGTGGGGTAGTGATGCCCTTCACCCAAAGGGATCCACACAACATACCTCAAGAGTCTCACCGATGCAGAAGATGACGCTGATGTCACCCTCAATGGCGGCCTTGACCTTGCGGGCAATGAACTAACAGACACCAAAACATTAGCCCAAGCCATTGGAAATTATCATATGTGGGGGAAGAGATGTCAATTGGTTGACATGGAAACATACCTCGTCGCTCTCCTTCAGGATGACACGGCGCTCGCTGTGGCCGATGATGGTCCAGTTGATCTTGGCATCCTTGAGCTGCTCGACGCTGATCTCACCGGTGAAAGCACCGTTGGGCTTGTCGAAGACGTTCTGGGAGGCAACGCCGATCTTGTCGGAGGCAGCCTCGCGGGCAGTGAGCAGGTAGAGGGAGGGAGGGGAGATGACCACCTCGGCGGACTCGTCGAGCTTGGCCTTGTTGAGGTTGTTGATGATGGAGGTAATGCTCTCGGCAGTACCGTTCCTTTTGTGGTGATTGAGTGTTAGTTTGGCTCTGATTTGTTTGTTTTCCTTTCTGCTGCTGCAAGCTGAACAGGGATTGGGAGAGGCCGTACATCTTAAAGTTACCACCGACGAAGAATTGGCGAGGCATCTTGGAGAGTTTGGTTGTGTGAGTGGAAGAGACGAGAAGAGAGACGAGAAGGGGGGTAGGTATAGTGGGAGGGTGAATTGGAAGTAGGAATAGTATGAAGGAGAGAAGAAGGAGAAGAGAAGAGGAAGAGAAGGAGAAGAGGAAGACGAGAAGAAATGAATGACGACGAGGAAGACGAGAGAAACACGGAGGGGGAGGGGAGAGCGAGAAGCACGGCGGGGCTCGGGCCGGTGTGAACGAAAGGGAAGGGTTGGGTTTGGGTGGGAGGGTCGATGGCGGGGCTTATCGATAAGTCACTTACTTTCTGCCTCTGAGCTGGCAGCCGGAAGCTTTCCTTCTGCATCAATTCTTCTGCTGCTTCCCTGCTGCTTTTCGCCTTACTGCAATTAGGTAACAATTCGCGTGACCTGCAAAGCCTCAGGGCTGTCGGCTACTTCTCCTCGATTCATGTGCTTCAATTGATTTCAGGTGTATCCATCAAACTAAATTGGTGTTGAAACTAAACTTCTCTGCCAACCTCCAAGAACCACACCCGCTGCAATGACGTTATAGCATACCCACATCCCCCCTTCACCCGAGGAAACGCCCGAAAATTAAACGGAGAACTTAACCGGAGAAAACAACCCCCCCCAATCCACCATTAGAATCAGAAGCACATGAGTAGGTACATAACATAAGGGACTCAGCGAAGATCGTCCAACGGACGATATCGTCGGGCATAAAATGACCCTGAGTCACGGAGTGACATGCGTCGGGGCAGGTAACATGTACTGTCCCACTCCTCCAGGACCCGCGCTTTGAGGTCTAATAGTCTCTCGCGATGCTCCAGTCGCGCCTCCCGATCGTCCAACATCCGCGTTCGAATATCGTTTCGCATCCGTCCGCCATCATAGCGGCCAATTCTCTCCTCGACCAGTTGCTTCATGTCTAACCCCTCGGGAGGAACAGGCGCCTGGATAATCTTGGGCCGATCTCGGGCCGGCCGTGTAACTTCTCGGCTGAGAATGACCCTAGGGTCGTTATGATTACTCTTGGCAGGGACCACATCAATGGAACCAGCAGGGTAACCACTGCGCCCTGTCCCCTGATTTGAACTGCTTTTCTGAGGCTGTTTGCGATAGTGCGTTCGATAAACCTGCTTGGTGCTGGGGGCCGAATGGCGACGGTAGAGACTGCCTCGCCATGGTTGAGGTTGAGGGTTCTCTTCGGCTTCTAACCCCTCATCCGAAGCCTCGGACATTGAACTTTCGTCGTCAAAGTCGAACTCAGACTCCCCATCGCCCATACTACTTGACTCAATGGCTAAGTCTGTCTCTGGCTCTGCGACGGGCATTGCCGCGTTGATATGATTAGGCTTAGGATGCGTGGGGGTATGAGCCCTGGTCTTACCCAGCTCATGCAACTCGGGTGGCTTCAACGGGCTGGGTTGGAGATGAATATTGGGACCTCGATGGACCGTACCCTGTGTGACAGAAGCTCCGCGAGGATCATTCCACATGTTTGGCATCTGTGGGATGCCCCTTTGCGTCTCATGCTCTGTAAGAGTGGCTGTAGAATCATGAGTTCCTGCAGAAGGACGATATTGTGGGTGCGCAGCAGCTGGCATCCCTTGCTGTATCCAAGCCGCCCATTGCTCCTGGGGGATGGGCCGCTGTACTCCTGGCGGGAATGAATGCTGTGGTGGAGGAGGTGGAGGCTGGTGATTCGGCCTGGAAGGCAGTGGCTGCTGGATATCAGCCATGCTTGCGGGCACTGTTCTTTGATGGGTGGCAGGTTCCTGAAGCACGGCAGGCCCTTGGGGAACAACAGACCCTTGATGGACGGCAGGCCTCTGGGGGACGGCAGATCCTGCGTGCCTGGCCAATGGATTGGTTGGAGGAACAGTTTGGCTCAACCTGGGTTCCCTGTTGAACAGAGTATAGCTGCTAGGGGCTTGAAAGGTGTCTCCGGTAGGGGTTATTCTCTCCACAGGTTCATTGACAGAAACCTGTGGGTATACCAGACTTGCAGCCTTCTTCCGGATGATGACTTCTAACGAGACCGTCTCATAATCACCGCGTCGAGTATTCTTGCCCCTAACAGGTTTCTCGTCCTCCTTCACATAGACGCAAGCCCATTCGAATCGGGGACCGCTGGACCTAAGCTCGTGAATCAGTTGGTCGACGTGGGCCCGCTTCACCTTGGACAAAGAATGGTATTGCTCGGCCACGGGTAGCTTCTTGGTCCGGTTGACCACCATGTTCATCAAGTCCGATTGGCTAAGGTTCATCTTCGCTCTCTCCACTTGACTCCATGTGCTCTTCTTCCCGGGGGTGGGGGTGGCCTTGAAGAAGGTATACCCCAAGTAGAAGAGGGGAGCAGCAGCATCAATGTCATTCATGGCAGCTATGCCTCCTGGCTTCGGCGTGTTCTTGTTGGGAGCCTTCTCGGTCTGTACATGGAGCCGGTTCATGGAGTTGATCAAGTAGTCTGGACTCGCTTGATCTTGGGGGTTGATCGATACTATACGAGGGTGCTCGTTTGACTGAACAGGTGGGTGATGAATAGGAGGAACCGGAGGGACTGGAGGGACAGGCGGAACCCGGTTGTCTGAGTTGATCTTCGCCATACTGTAGGAGGCGGGTCCGTCTGGAGTGGATGGATGGGTTCACAGTGAGTGAAGAGTGAGTTGGAGGATGAAGAAAGCAATAGTCACAGCATCAAAGACTTGACAAGAGACAACCGGGGTCTGAATGACAATCTATGCTGAGAATTTCAGCTGGAAATGTTTTGGAAGGGGGAGGGGGGGTGCTATCAAGCACACATGCGTGCGTCATATATACTGAGGAAAGAAGTCCGTAAAGCGGACTGGAGGCAGTCTCCGGCACTCCAACGTCCGACAAACAGGCTGTAAGAATGTTTCAGACCGGGCAGATGCTCGTTGCGTTCTGCCTTGTCATTAGAGAGAATCCCCGAACCTCACGGTTTTCTCAAGAAAAAAAAATCCCCCGAAAGGAATTAGAGGTAAGCCGTGATTTGCTTTTACTGACTGCCTGACTGATTGTCTCTCTGATCATCCAACCAAGCATCCATCCATCCATCCATCCATCCATCCATCTGAGGGCAGCGTGCCTGTGACATTTGCAGGGCGCAGAAAGAAAAGAGCCCGGGCAACAATGAAGGGTCAGGCTGAATTGGATTCGATGATGGATGCCAGTAATTTCCATCCCGCCTCTTTTGTATTCCGTGGTTTCTTTCCTTTTTGTCGTCTTCGTCATTTCCGAAGACCACGGCCTCGTATTAGTATTCTTACGCCTCAGCCGCAATGAGATCTGAGATTGGGGCTACGCAGGGGGTGAGCAATACCAACAGCCAGCTATGTCAGATGCCAAAAGTGAAGTTGAATTTACACTGCTTAATAACTACTAGGTACAGTAACTACAGTACTAGGTATCACCGCGTGGGTTCGAGAGAAATCCCTCAGCTTCACCCCTTCACCCCTTCACCCCCTTTGCCTGCAGAGTGGCTGAAATTGGGTCCAGGCAACAGAAAGCTCTTTTGTAGCCTGCCTACTCTACCTAATAGCCATTCAGCGATCAGTTCCAACACTCCCATCCAACGAAGGTGATTGCCGATTGGGTGGTGGGGGAACTTGCACGGTCAGGATCATGCAGCCAAGCCACTGTGGCGCTTAAAGCGCCCGGCTGCAAAGCTGCAAAACAATTTACAAGTCATCCTTCAACCTCGAAGGACATTGGACAAGACCACATGGATCTGTACTTCACCACAGGCCAGGTGGATCCCTTATCGCGTTGCATATGTATGGAAGATGCCATAGACGCGGCGCGACATACTTCAGTACTTCACTCACTTCCATCACTTCCATCACTTCCGTCACTTCCATCACTTCCATCACTTCCGCTGCACACAGCAAAGAGAGAAGTGACCGCTATTACCCTTTGCCCAGTGCTAAGCTGCCCAGGCCTGCAAGCATCCGCACTGCAATCGGAGGCTTTCCTATTCTTGGAAAACACCGTCTTCGGACATAGGAGAAGACCTTGACATCAACTCTCAGCAGCATTACCCAGGCGACAGCCACGGGAAAACGCGCAAAGCCTCTTTGTACATCCACATGCTGATAGGCTAGTCGAGTTGTGACTCACCCTCTCACTCCTGCAGGTGTAGACACTACCTAACCTTATAGGTTAGGTACCTGTGACCAGGTTCAGGTTCGAGCGATGTAAGGCCCCAGCTGAAGGGCCTGTCATCATCATTGGTCTATGTTAGCTACCTACTAACAATCAGACTTGATTGAATTTGCCTGCTCTTTAGAGTTAGAACTCATTGAAGAAGAAACCCAAGAATGCGATAGCATGGCCAAGGACGAGTGAAGACATGGGGATTGTTGCTTTTTTAGGTATGGTAATATTTCTTTCTTTGTGGCCTTTGTGACTTGACACTCATCAACTCTTTATCAATTCTAGTAAAAGCTCTGGCTTCTTTGTTGAGCCACCGGCTTCATGTCTTGTTCCTGCTTTGTGTCGAGCCAGCCGACACAATGGACTGTTCCCGCAATGGCTTTCATACACTGACCTCCAGCCTTGTGATTCCCGCCGTACTATCAACACCCCTAGAATGAGCCATTGTTCACTGAATCTCTCCCGCATCAACTGCTTTCTTCCTGATAGTTCTTTCAATCTCATTCAAAAGGACCAAGTTAGCTCATTTAAAATGGAGCCCCCCATGGCTTCCTGGGCTATGAGGGGTATCCAGATAAAACGCTAGACTATATGGTCCTTGCTCAACAGAATCACGAACTCATCTAATCCACTACCGAGAGTCATTATGAGTTCTTTTCCAGTACAGAGATGGGGCTATGATTTTCGACACCTTATTGACCTGATCACCCGTGACAGAAAGCACGATCCAAAGTACTTCCAAAGTTACCGGCACATTCGAAAATATGATTCAGAACTCGCTGCAGTCATCCGTGAGCTCCTGGAGCCGGGCACTAAGCTTGCGAGTAATTTCCCAAGCCTTCATCAAGTTCTCTCCCATCGCTATAATGCAGCCTTGGCTGGCCGGGAAACAGAAGTATCCCGATGCCGGCACGTCGAGAAGGATAGCGGCGAGAGATACGATAGCCACCAGTACCAGACTCGGCTTCTACAGCACCCGGAACTTTATGTAGGCAGGGGTGAGGAGGCTAGGAAGATAGGTATCAGATGGAAGTCTCTATGCAAAATACTGAAGAAACAACACTTCGTTATCCGGGGCATCCTCGGCAGTGGAAGTATGTCCCCCCCCATTCGGCACTGTCCTGCAAATGCTCCCGGCTCACTGATGACCCTTTTCTTCACCAGGCTACGGTATTGTCCTCCTTGCCCATAAAAGTGAGTTGTCCCCGAAAATCCTACGCGATTGTATGGAGCGACTTTTTACTGATTCTTCTCTTTCAGGAGACGATGAAGGTCGCTTGTACGCTATTAAGATGGAGAACCTGGTTACAATCGCCACAACGGTGAATTATCACGAGAAATACAGGGTTGTCGGCGCGATTGGACCCTCACCGGTAATGGCGCCCTTATTCTTACAAGAAGATGAACACCACTACATCCCAGTTGAGGCGTACATTCTGCTTCTTGCCAACGAGTGTGGCCGGTTCCCGACCCTTGACTCGGTCTACTCCCACAAGTTATACCAGGCCATCGTGATGTCCGCCCACCTCGATGAGGCCGTTGCCGAAGCTTCTTATACCTCCAAGAACCCTGATTATGAGGAATTGCTCACGCGGAAATTCGGGGCTTGCACCGCCAGTCAACTCATAAGATACAAGAAATCGTCACTGGAGGAGCACATGGTCTGCAAGGTTGCATCTCAACTCCTGGAAGGCGTCGCCTACTTGCGCGACATGCATATCTGCCACGACGATCTCAAGAACGATAATTTCATCATAGAAGAAGACTTGAACGTACGTTCTTTTCCCCCCTCTTCCTTGCCCTCTCATCACGGTGATGGTCCCTGTGCGCGACTCTCATGCTCTCTTCTTTTGCTTCTTCCCATATGAACGACTGCTCACTCGTGAAATTCGGATACAAAAAGACCATCATCATAGACATCGGACTCTACACATTCGCCCTCACCGATAACGACTATCTCAAGGGAGAATTCACCTACGTACCCGCGTACGAAGGCGGCCTCACGCCGGAATTGACCCTCGAGCTCTTTAGGGCTCGCTATATAGAGGAAGCTCAGAAGGATTCGCAGTTCCAGATTAAGCTCCCCCACGACCAGCGGATGACCGGCCTGTGGGTGCTGGCCTCGAATATCTACGAGCTGCTGCACGGAATCGCACCCTGGGAGGACCTCAAGTGGGACCGGCACATCGGCTATGTGCAGGATTGGCGGCAACCCGGGGTTGACCAGACAATCTACGCCGATCGAAAGCAAGCGCTCAACGCACGGCGAAAAAGGGTCATCAACAAAGAATTGCCGCTCTCGGAGATGCTCTCGCAGGACTGCGCCGATGCCATGCTGATGATGTTCGCCAAGGACCCTGGGGACCGACCCACGCTGCCGGAGGTGGAGTCCTGTGTGTGGTTCGGGCAGTGGAAATACGAGTCTGACGATCCCGACAGGTTCAGGCGGCCGGGCAACAGTCTGGAACGCAGGCAGCAGGATCAGCAGGCTCAGCAGCAGGCTCAGCAGCAGGCTCAGCAGCAAGCGCAACAGCAAGCGCAACAGCAAGCGCAACAGCAAGCGCAACAGCAAGCGCAACAGCAAGCGCAACAGCAAGCGCAACAGCAAGCGCAACAGCAAGCGCAACAGCAGGCGCAGCAGCAGGCTCAGCAGCAGGCTCGGCTCCAGGCACTTCAGGCACAGCTCCAGGCACAGCTCCAGGCACAGCTCCAGGCACAGAACCAGACACAGAACCAGGCACAGAACCAGGCACAACAGCAAGCACAGCAGCAGGCACAACTCCAGGCACAACAGCAAGCACAAAACCTGATACAGATAGCGGCAGCAGTTAACCAGCTTATCGCAGACAACGACGGGGACCAAATGCAAGAATAGGCGTGGATCGCTTTCCTGTATTTGTTTATTATCTCCCCCTCTTCCTTTTTCCTTGAAAGGCATTGCTTGGTGCTATGTGGGTTTTCTTATTCATCGGCAAAGCATGGATTTCTCCGGGGTTGACGGAATGTTTCGATATCGGTTTGTGTTATAATTTTTGAGCCCATTGCATCGGTATGTTGGGATTCACCTGGAGTATAGAGGCGACACTATGTCATGAGAGACGATAGAAAAGTATAGATTTATAGACGTACAAGGCTAAGCCTTGGAAGAATGATAGATGGATGCATTATGCCCGATCCCGAAAACCCCTAGCCACGAATGTGATAACAGTGCAAGAAACAAGGCAGAAAACAAGATTGAACACGAAAAAAAAGAGAGAAATCACAGCAGTAGTCGACTCGTGTCAGTCATATCATCAGCGACGAAGACTATCCAGTCTTGCCTGTAAATCATCATCACTTGCGTTTCCGGCGGCCCCGATCGGCTGCGCGACTCTTGTCTCGCCCACGGCCGTCTTTTGTATATCCGTCGGCGTCTCACCCAGCTGCAAAACCACCAAGAGAGGAAACAGTCAGTATACGGACAAGACCACAACACCCATATCCTCAAGGCAGGGAATAGAGGGGGAACTATCACGCACCGCCTGGCTCAGGTCCACGCCAATCTCATCCAGCACCTCCTTGACGATATCCTCGCTATCCTCCTCCTCGCCCTCCATGCCCGTCGCCTCGTCGATCGCATCGTCCATCATCTCCTGCCGTTGGTCCATGATATCGTTCTCGCGCTCGAACTCCATCGCGATCCGCTGCAGCGCCGGCAGGTTCATTTGCCGGTTCATGCTGCCCAGCAGCATCGTCGCCCCCTTCATCGACTGCATCATCTGTTCGTTACTCCGTACCGTCTGGATTTTGGGATGAGTTGCGTTAGCTGACAGCCAATACCAATCTCCCCAAAAACAACCCAGTCCATCAAGGTAAAAAAACCATACCTGAATCCGCAACGAAATCGCCTGCAACTGCGTGCGCATTTGGTAGAATTTCTGGATGTACCTGTTCTCCATCCCGTCAGACACCTTTTATTCAAACATCGCAGCTCGCACATCGCACATCGCACATCGCACATCGCACATCGCAACAAAGTACGGATAGAGAGGGAG